GAGGGGAGGGGAGAAGCTGCGGCCGCCTGAGGCTCTTAACAGAGCGCTCAGGCGGCTGCAGTATTTAAAGGGCCGGCCCGCCGCGGCCGGCCTTACAGGAATTTAGGGCGGCCTGGGGGGCAATTGCCTCCCTGCCCCCCGGCCCAGCCCGCCCCTGCTTGGTGTGCCATACCGTTTAAAAAAAAAAAAAAAAAATGTAATTTTTTTTCTGGGGGTGTGTACGTTGCCATATTCTATTACAAAGGCACCTAGAGTGCCATGCATGGCACACATGCCGTGGGCTGCTAATGCCTGGACTATATTGTCTGGTTGTTCAAAATAAGCAATATGGCCCCTATCTAGTGGAACTGTCAAGTCCTGCAGTCATCTTGTTTGGTGGCATGCTTGCCCATATTTTCTTGTGCCTACCCAACTGTATTGCTTGGAAATGGTGAAATCTGTCATAAATCAGCTGTTATAAATCAAGAAATTATAAATAAATTGTGTTCCTTCTACAATGCCTCAGCATTTAAGTTCGATCACATACATTTTGTCCATGTATCCATGTGCCTTACTGTTCAACTGTTTGAAAATGACATCCCCGGCTCAGACAATCAAAATACACATAAGTCATTAAGGTTTTCAATACCGAGAGGATTTATTATACAAAAGTATAAAGGCAATCAGCCACCCCTCCCACAGAATACATTAATTCTTCATTTAACAGGAGTTTTAGACAATAAATAATTAGACAGGAAGATAAATTGACACCCGATGTAACACCCATTCACAAATGTCAGGTTTATCACAGTGTTCCAATACCTAGATTTAGATACAGATTTAGATTTAGGACCGACTGGTATTGCTTGCAACAAGAAGGGTCCAGAGAAGGCTTTACTGCAAATCTTCATGGACTATGCTTTATGTAATTCTGCTACAAACCCAGAAACCTCAACAGTGCCAAGATGTTGCAAGTCTATAGTAAAAGACCCATACAGTCATATTCCAAGCTGTCGTCCAGTTAAGAGCAATGAAGCACCAAGTCCTGCTGGAAAGAATGGAAAGTCTTGACACAACTCTGACTCTCCAACCCCCAATAAATAATGGGATGAATTTGGAAGATTGTTTACCATGTCTAGTTTACTTGCAAGAGGACTGATCTGCATAGCACTGGCGGCTGGTTTAAAGATGGTGGAATGATAAACTCTGCCCCTTGACTTATTAGGTGCTTCCCAACTAACTGCTTGAAAGGTATAACACCAGAAGAAAACATGTACTCATTGGGTAACAGCATTAGGAGTGGATTTGGACCTCTTTAAAGCAGCTTGTGTGTCTCATATGACAGGCCTAAAGAAAAGGAAAATATGCAGGCCTGCCTCTCCAGGCATCCAGGATCTAAGGAGCCAAATGCAAACTTAATTGGTAATGTCAGAACTTCAATAAGAGCAGACTAAGCAGGTCTGCAGGGTCTATATCCAAAAAAGGCAAAAATAGAAAGAGGTCCAGGCACTCCAGAGTACAAAAAAGGCAAAATGTATTCAACCCACCGCCACTCACAACGTTTCGGCCTAAACAGTCTTTGTCAAGTCAACTGATCTGGTCAAAACGTTGCGAGGGGCAGTGGGTTCAATAAATTTGCCTTTTTTGTACTCTGGAGTGCCTGGACCTCTTTCTATTTTTGCCTCATCAAGTATTTGGTTCTTGGTACTGGGACCGGCCTGGTTTTACCCAGATTCATATTACCATGGGGATTGAGTGCATTTCCACACCCCTGTTTCTTGGTTATATCCAGGAATGGGGCATTACAAAGTTATAAAATAAAATAAATACAATTAAAAACAAATTTTTTACATGATTAGTCGTTTAGTCTCGCACCAGCATTAATAGTCAATCAATGCAGTGAAATAACAGCAAAGCTAATCATTACAGATGTAACATGTTTTTACCCAAAACAACCAAAAAAAAAAAAAAAAAAGGTTCTGTTACCCCACATAACCCTTTTGGACCAGCATCCACTGATGCACAATACACTTCTTGAAAAATATAGAAAAAAGCATTACATTTTCTTTAGCAGAGATGCATATTCTGACGTGATTTAGCACTCACATTTGGTAGTACGTAATTTCATGAAATAAATTAATCATAAGTGCCTGAATTATTCCCTGTATACGTGTAACATACAAAATAAATCAATGCTTTAACCGTTCAAAGCACATAGAGGAAGTACAAAAAAAATAAAAAAAAATAAAAAAAATCAGTCATTTAATGGTAAACAGAGTTACCATACGAGCCCTATTATGCCACACGTGCCACCTATATATTTAGGATTGATAAGGGGTTAAAAAGTAAAAAAAAAAATCAAAACCATGCACACACTAACGAAATGACAAGGAAAGTAACAAGACACTAACAAATATTAATATACTTATTTCGTTTGTTCCGAAAGTAGATTTTTGAAAACGCAAGATTTTGTTCAAATTCAACAAAAATGTTGTTGACTTGATTCTTTGAACTGACATGTATACATTTTTAAATTTTTGAAATTAACAGCAATTGTCCAAATTGTAATTCGTTAAGAAACACTGTTCTTTCATACAGTCTACAAAATGGTAAGGACAAAAACACTGCTAAAATGCAGAACTGAGCACCTGGTTTTGTAATGCACATTGTGGAGCATAGGTTATACAATAAATAATTTACAGGCTGTTTTGGAGGTGAATATTTTTTTGTAATAATTCACCACTGTTCAAATACATTGTATGAAATGGTTTTGTAAGTGTAGAAAGGGCACAAATAATCAGGGAACTGTTTTCTTGGGGGACTTAAGCATGCCAATTATGGACATTAAAATGGTACCACGGGACTGGCATGAGACGTGTTGGCTATTGCATTCTAAGGCGAACAGGTATTTCTTTTTGTTTTGTTTTAAACTGGGACTGTGAAAAAAGTAAGCTGCATTCAAATGCGACTTCAAAACAATATCTTACAAACATGTCATATCAGTAAAAATGAATCTATATTTTGTTTTTATAAAAAATTTTTTCAAGGTGTCCTCCATACAGCATTCACTGAGTGAATTTAGTACCGTTGCAGTATCATATTTTCAAGGTAAGAAAGGAGAGACCCCTGAATGCCATGCCATTGTGCTCGACTGTCTTATAATTGTAGTAACGTTTCAATTACAACTAAAAAAATAAATACAAAACTAAAAATGTTATGAATTTTTATCATTGTGTTTGTAAAAGTTACTCCTACCATAAGTTTTTTTTTTATTCCTGATGAAAAACACTTGAGAATTTAATTATATATTTTTTTTAAATGCGCCATGATATGTCACGCCAGTTATGCCTGATAATGTGCCACCTATGACACAGAACATCTCTGAGAAATGACTATTTAAACCCCTTTAGTACCAATAATGCGATCATCATAGTCAGTGCCTTAAAGACTCATGGCTGGTAATTAGTACCCTAGTATGATCTATGAAAGAAGCAAAGGCTGAGACAAGAGTGAGATTTGCCTATTCTGGGGAAGAAATTGGGAAAAAGTAGGCAGAGTTTTGACACTCCTATATCAAAGGGAAATGTAATTTCATTTAGAGTGTCAATAGATAACCTGCTATACCAGCAAAGTCACAGTAAAACCATGGAATACTCTCAGATAACCATTTTAAAAAGTTAAGCAATGCTGTTGAGTTAAAAGTTACATTTATTTTTAAGTTATCATGCAGGATGAGGCAAAATTGGTTTTGGTGGCATGGTAAACTGTAAATCTCTAACAAAATACAAACAGCATTCAAGAAAGAGAACTAAACTTACATCATCATCAAAATAGTTAGTTTTGGTTTTTAAGCCTGTCCTCTGGGACCACCTTAGTTAATAACATACAGAAGTCCTGGGATTAGACAATTATTAAAGTAGAGTCTTTGTTGGCAGCTTGTTGGCTTACAATTCCACCTTCAGATGATGAAGAACCAGAGTTTCCACTAAACCAAAATAACTGCCCTCATCCTCTTCTGATGTAACGAGGAGCACCTTAGGGCCCATTTAAACAATATGTTGTATATCCATATTCATTATGCTGAACAGGAAGTAGACCTGTTATGTAATAAACTGCAGAATGGATGAAATATAAATTGAATGAAAAATAGTTGTTTATTTTTTTTTTTTCTTGTGATAATTGGTCCCCGTAGTTTAGAAATGCATAATCAGAAGTGCTGAATCAAAAGTTTTATAAGTTGAGGCAACACATTTTGATCTAGTTAGTGCAAAAGAGCATAGTATCTTGCAACAACGTGACCCAGATCCAAAGGCCTCTTGTTGATTTCAGCAAATGATGCCGAATGGGCTGATAAAAAAGAAGATAAAAAATGCCTCTCTAGATCTCCCATGATATTATGCCAAGAGAAAGCTAGTTTCTAGAATGGTTCAGATAGCCCCTCCTTGAACTCTCATCATCAAGCCAGCTTAGTACATGGACATTCTAAATTGCAACATGGCTACAATGCTCAAATGATACACACACTCTCATTATACAACTGATCAGGTACAAAAACTCAGACAAGAAAATCAACTGAATCAAAGCCCAAAGCCTGGAACATTATTATCATCAAATTGTGTCACTTAGAAAAATGGAATAAAAAAGGTATATAAACTGCAAAAAAGTGTAGAAAACTACTGTTGAGACAATGCTGCACACGATATAAATTTAGTTGCCTGTTTCAAGAGACGACTGAGGATGACTTTCAGTTTTGTCACATAATAGTTCCATTAGTTTTTTTGTTCTTTGGCCATTTTGTGTAGTTATGTCAAAAGACTAATCTGTTTTTAGCCAAAGAGCTCATGGTTTTTAACAGTTATTTATGAATCTCCCAGAAAAAAAAACATGAAATTAATGTAGTTGAACAACACCCCAGCACCATGTAATTTCCCCTGAGGTAGACTCGCCCCTGCCCTGCTGCTAGGGATTGGGGCACACCTCGTATAGTCCTTTTCTGACTGGACACTTTGGCTTTACTTAAGCACCTGCTCAATGGCCTTTTCCTCTCATGGACAATCTTCCCTGTGATCTCTTGGCCTTCGTATAAATCGATTTTCCGGTCTCAGTATTTTACTACTGAATTAATCCATGCAAATTCAGTGCAGGAACGGAGTGCAACCTATTGCTGTGAAGATTCCTTTTGCACCGGAGAAGTTAATGAAATGCAACATTGGACAAAGACAGAGACCAGATAATGGTATTTAACACAGTCTCGTCGTAAAAAGTCAATTTTTTATTTAAAGATATTTAGAAAGTGTTTCATACATGCATAAGGCCAGCTGGGAATGTTTAGTCTTTTGCTTGCAGAGTAGCCTACCCATAATGCCTGGCACATGGAGATTAAATTTGAAATACCACCAAATTACACCAGGATGGCCCAGAAGTACTTCCTTCCACGCGAGTTCACAGTTGACTTGGTCAGTCATTCAAATTGCTTGAAGCGCTCCCACTACGTGTTGTGTAACATTTCTCCTCTTTGTAGACTATGTAGTATCTTCAGTGAAGATATCCTGTGCAGAACACAATAGCAAGAATGAGGAATGTCCAGTTCAGAATGTGGCTGAAATCATCTATATCCCAACAAAACTTAATTAAGCAATGATCTTCTGAGGGATCTCTACAGATGCTCTAAGAAATATTGAATTATCACGTACATAGTTCCGCTTTCTTATGTCCTCATGAGATATAAATTTGGGATATCCAAACCCAAGAGTGCTCTCATCCAGTGAATTACGGGAACCACTTGGCTTCTGGAAATTCTTCCAGTTTGGGTCAGGGTTGAAAGTTTCTGTGATGTTTTGGGGCTTAGACAATGATGGGTCACTTTGGTCAAGTAAAGTAAAGGTAACTCGATATGAGAAGGGCCATTCCAGAAGGTTATCATATTCTCCGGGCAGTACTCGAATATACACCGAAAGATAGCTTCCTTCACCGCTGCCATTGCCATTTAGAAATGCTGAGACTTGGAGTTTATAACCATATCTGTGTGTGTAAAAAACTGGACTGAAGGACTCAAAGTTTCCCCGGACCTTGGCCTCTTGCACTTTGCGGCTATAGTCACTGATTTTCCAGATGAGTACTCCTTCGCTGCTCACAGAAAGCTCTTCCACTTGCTTCTTCAAATCTTGAATCTCCTGTCTTTGTCGGCTGACCAAGGAGGACATCATGCTGAGGTGCGACCTCATGTTCTCCTCCAAATGTCGGCTCATACTGATCTTAGGGCACTAGGAAAGAAGTAGTGAAATATTATTTCCTGGTCTTTGAACACTACATACGAAAAAAAAAAGGGCAGAGATAGAAGGAGGTTTTATACACCTTAGAAATAGGGCAAATAGCATTTGATGCTTGTATCAACAGTTCATTTTATATTTACAACAATATTAACATTTCATGGTAATTACCCATTCACTTTCAAAAATAAAAAAGCGTAGCTGACCTTTAATACTCTATCATGTACATGTAACCACAGTTATTTTAGTTGAGAAACTGCACTTTAAAGTAACAGAATAGATTGCAAAACCCTAAAACAAATAACTCAAGAGTTATTATCTACAATGTGTTAGTAAAACAAGAGCTGTTTTGTTATTACTTGATGGTTATTTCGACCAGTAATACAAGTTACTAATTTAACTCAGAGACCAGTTATGATTCTTTTGACGCATTGTACGTGAAAAATCTCTCTAAAGTAATTAACACAAGCACATAGAAGATTCTCTTTTAAGACTCACTCGATGTTTGCAGCCAGAGTCCTTAAATGGACAAAGCACCAAAGCAGAGCTGCAGCTGTCCTTCAGGTGTCCATTCAGGTCTTCTCGGGCAATATTGGCCATGCCACACTGGTTGGGGCATGTGATTGGGTATCGTGGACACTGATATTGATGACTCTACGGAATGAAAGTAGAGAGTGTTCAAATGGACCACGGAATTCTCAAAGTTGTTGCCAAATACAAAATGACTTTTCACAACAAGACAAAGTACAAATGATATAACTCAATTCTCTCTATACTAGTAATGGATAATGAGCCTCACGGTTCAAAAGTATTGAGTGCCACTGACCGCTGGCACTCAAACATTACAGGTTTTAACTGATAATCCCTAAGGCACAGACCACAGATAAAACTTGGTTTGAGAACACTAACAATTTTTTGCAAATCTAACAAACTATTGGTTTTCAGCTTTTTGTGTTCTTTATAAACTAATCAGATTTCAGTTTACGCTAAGTATACAGGGAACATCCACTTTTATTTAAATTGTTAGGAAATTTTTTTAATTATTTCTCTATTTTTACTAATCCTACATTAACTTTTAACTTGCATGTTAAACAGAGTACACCTTTTATAGGATTTTGTTTGCATTATTATTTAAATCACTGATACTCTCCTCTGACATGGCATTTCACATGGTCACCCTACAATGATGAAATCTCGGTGCTCATTCCTTGAACAACTCTGTAAATTAACAATGAACAATAATTGACTGAAGATGCCTTAGTTGTTGAAGACAACTGGAATTCTTAAAGTTTTAGGAAATGTAAAGATCACTGAGATAGATGAAGTAGTGCATAGCATAGAACTGGGCATTCTAGATCAAGCAGCAAGATGGAAAGAAATTATTTTTTTTGTGTTTAAATACTTTTTACTATGTAGTCAACAACTAATCACGTGAACTTTTTTGCTTCCCCTCTCCAGAACGATAAATGATCTTATTGTACAGAGTAGCAGCTGCACAGCATACTCGATAGTCACAAGGGGCATTCAAAACAATGCAATTTCGTAAACTGAGATCTATCTGCTCACTGGTATGAGATCACCTCTGAATACAATTGGCTTAGCTGGGTGAAAATTGGACAACTAAATTACAAGCAACTTGTAACTTCTTAAAAATGGCACTGGAAACCTATATTTTTCAATTGTTAATGTAAACACAACATTTTCCAGGTTTACAGTTATTCACATACATAGATCATCAATCCTCAGCCAGGAGCTGATCCCTCTAACATCTACTGTAACACTTCCTTATGGATCCCTCCATTACACTTCGCCCCTCATGTTCTAACCTGGATGGTATCGAAGACAAATTCCTTATTGCAGTACGGACAGGGTTGCGTACGTTTGGGACACTCTGCCAATGAATGCTGGGATAACACACGTCTCATCATTCTGGCTCCACACTTATTCTCACAGTACACGCTTTCCTGGGGACAGCTGCCCTGGTGGTCCTGCGGAAACAGCAAAACTCACGATTAGGACATCGAATTCAAAAATCAACCATAATGAATGAGGACAAATGACAGGAAGAAATGTGTGCATCTGCTAATGCTTGTCACTCAAAACATGTACATATATATTATAGGGAGTTATGAGGGGCTGGGTCAGAGCTTTAAGGTACTTATGATACATTATGTTACTCAAGAAGGAAATTCAGTCCTAGGTTCTTGATTTTGGCAGTACTTGGCTAATACACCTCTGTATGAGATTATCATAAAATAAAATCTTTTAGAAACATGATAAAATGCAAGCAGTTGAAAAACGAACATTTAGAGCTTTATATTATGTATGTTACACCTTTGAAATAATTCTGTGGGTAAAAACACATTCAGGACTCGTAATAATCAGATTGTGCACTTGCTGGATCACTGGTCCACAAGCAGTCTACAGGAGGCCTCACCTCATAAGCCTCCCCGGTGAAGTCACTGCCGCAAAATTCACAGCGGACTTTACGCTTCGGACAGTCGTGCTGCATGTGCTCCGGCAAATCGCGACGGATCAGTTTGGTGCTACAGCGGTTCGGACACGGGATTACGTTAAAGGCACAAATATTGAGATGAATCTATGGAGAAAAAAAAAGTGTAAAATGGGAAGGATCAGTGACGTCTCTTCTACAGATTGAGAGTACATTTATTATAGTTATATACATGCAGGACTAAAAGTTGCTAACCAAGCTTACTGGCTACCATAAGTTATATTTTTTTTTCCCTCCATGCATTTTGTATACAAGGTTTTATTTTTTAATGCAGAGTCAAGTGAGTGCAGTCTTAATGCATTTATCACAGATCCTGTAACTGCATGTATGTTGTTATTGTGTGATTCACAGATGTATTTGTTTGTATAGAGTCAGCGTGAGAACAGGTCTGTGTGTGGACCTGGGCACGGTTGTATTTTGGTGTCAGCTTGTGTATTGCAAGATTGAATGCATTGTATGTCTCAGAGTGCACGCACTTTTATTTGCATACAGTATTGATAGATACACTACCTGTACCCCATCCTCTTTGCAATAACCTCACACAAAAAAAAGTTATACAAAAAAGAAATGATCAAAAAATATAGTTATTGTTATTACAACTGTAAGGCCGTATTCACCTCCAATTAAATAATATACTAAATACCTACCCAAACTCAATATTTTATATAGATAAACCAACAGGCAGATCGAATAGATACGAAGAAAGGAGCACATGGGGAAACAGAATAGATTGTTTTATTACTTTTTTGCATGTTAAGCTGCAAGACTTATAAAACAGTCTGAGAGCTTGATAGTACTAGATCTTAAATAGAATGCTGCGTCTGCTGTAGAACCTCCATCATTTTCTCAAACCAGCGTTCTATCATTTAGCTGATGCAAACTATCCATGATAAAAAAATTAAACTTAATACCTTCTGTATGGCTATTCTGGACTGGCTGCAATATCTGGCACCCAAGACAAGGCAACTTCACATTTCTGCTTCTAATATAGATGCCACAGCAAGCTGGTATTCTACATGAATGGTTAAGGCGTGCGTGGATGCAGTAAAGTCCTTGAACCACATAGTGACATAGTCCAATTACAGCAATGCTGGGCTTGGCTTGTAGCGTTACCCGTCCAGTGCTGAAATAATACACACATTTTGAGGAAGTTAGGGGAATTTTGTGCCCTGTTTTTGTGTGCGTTTACATAGGTATAAAGAAGTAGATTAGAGATATAACATTATGGAATCTGGCTTTATCCAAGTTTAATAAATAAAACATTTACTCTATAAATTAGGCATTGGATTCACCAGAATTCCAACTATTCATAAATGACAACAACGGCTATTACAGCCTTTTGGCAGCCAAACATTGCAATTTGCATAATTCGCCAGTCTGTTAAATTGTGCTAAATTTGTTGGTAGAGAGAGAGTCTTCATTAGGACAGTACCTGTATGCATCTTTAAAAGAGAAATAATGAAACATTTTGTACGAGAGCACCATATTTCATTTATCAGTAGACTCCAGACCATGTTCTCTTGCCTTCTCACCTGAAGTTGCTTTAGCTGTCCGTTCCAGCGACATCCTTCCTCGCTGTGTATACAACGTATTGATAAACCAAGCACCTGAGTCTCCAGGTCTCGGTCAGGATAAATCTAGAAGACACAGAATGGAATATTTAAAATAGAACATTAGAGAACACGTGAACAAACAAGGAATAATGATAATAAATAAATGATTAAAAACGGTTTGTCAATTATATGGAAATGAAGCTCACACCTGCGTTGTGTGGAGAATGGCCAACAACAGATCACAATGTTGAACAGATACAGCCTGTCACACAGAACAGCTGCCAAGTCAGCTGTATCTCTCTCAATAGAGAACACATTTGTCATGGATTAACATATTTAGAAAAAGGGGGGAAAAAATGTGAGCCAGCATTCCATCCCCTTGGGAATAATCAGCAGCAGTGCATTATGGAACGTTGGTGAGAGTAAGCGGAATGTTGATTTAACAGTCGAGGATACAGTAGATCTTCGCATCTTCCTCTCTGAACTAGATAGGGTGACCTGGCTTGACATACATTCAAATGTCCCCATTCACACTGTGGCCTAGTATGCATATAAACACCCTCTCCCCCCACTGCAATCACTTCAATCACTCTTTTCTCGAATGCATCTCAATCCTTCAATGACTTTTGCTACATCTCTAGTCTGTGCTGGGTTTGGCTCAGCACAGGACACAAAAGACTGATTTTTAGTCCTGTTGGAGTTGCATTTAAAAAGGCGCCTGGAACAGAAGGGCTTTGTTGAGGGCCAGTGTGTCTCCTGGGTTCAGTTCATAGTGGTTCTGAAGCAGTTTTCTTTGGCACTGAATCCTTGACCAGCACTGCCAGGGGCTATGTCAGTAGGAGAGATCTTCAAATAGATCAGACATAAATGTCTCCAAACAGAAGAGGGACAAGAAAGTATTTTACATAAAGACCAAGTAACCCATTTAACTTGCAAGCACTATTTGTGTTTGGTAAACAGAACACATCTGGCTTAGCATTTACATATATATGGAAAAGATTTACAAATAAACCTAGCTAGTGAGCAAAAACAGAGTGAGAACGTCTACACTCGTTTACGTAATCTGTTTGCAATAACAGCAAGATATAGACAGACTCACGCATAGTACCTGATTGTAATATGAACTCTGATTTAAACTGAGGAGACTAATACACATTTAAAGGACCACTCTAGGCACCCAGACCACTTCAGCTTAATGAAGTGGTCTGGGTGCCAGGTCCAGCTAGGGTTAACCCATTTTTTTATAAACATAGCAGTTTCAGAGAAACTGCTATGTTTGTGAATGGGTTAAGCCTTCCCCTATTTCCTCTAGCGGCTGTCTCATTGACAGCCGCTAGAGGCACTTGCGTGCTTCTCACTGTGATAGCACGCCAGCGTCCATAGGAAAGCATTATGAATGCTTTCCTATGTGACCGGCTGAATGCGCGCGCAGCTCTTGCCGCGCGTGCGCATTCAGCCGACGGGGAGGAGAGAAGGAGGATCGGAGGAGGAGAGCTCTCCGCCCAGCGCTGGAAAAAGGTAAGTTTTAACCCCTTTCCAGAGCCGGGCGGGAGGGGGACCCTGAGGGTGGCGGCACCCTCAGGGCACTATAGTGCCAGGAAAACGAGTAGGTTTTCCTGGCACTATAGTGGTCCTTTAACTTTGCTCTGATTAATTTTACTTTTTTTTTTTTGATATGAAGAGCAGAGAGAAGCTTACTCGTGATGACTTGTGCTACAAATGACAGCCTGTCTCTTTTGATATGCAGGTAGGTTGCAGTATTTGGAGTAATACCTGCACAGTGCCTGATCTCGTTGAGGGCTTGTGGCTCACTGGCACATTTCTACAATCTCTACAGAGCTTGAAGCAGTAAGCGCCCTTCTATATTGTTAAATGCCATTCTTGATGGCTACAGAGGATGTGCAGTCACTGTTAATATGCCAAGTCTTTTAAACAGCACTAAGGATCCTCACAAACACTGGGAGGAGTCTGCTACACTTACCAGCACATAATTTCCACACCTGAGTAGGCAATAGATGTGTGATTTCACATTTAAGGTCAAAGCAGCCAAACTTGAATTATAGCAGACTTAGAACATTCAAATTTGTGTATTTTACCTTAAATATAAAACGCACTTTGAATTCTCACTTTAGTGAGTAACACAGACAGACGTATAAAATGATACATACTAAAAAAGTAGAGGTTCAGACAAAAGAAAGATTAAAAGCAAGGAACAAGCATTAAAGAATCTAAATTTAGAAAGGCAGCACCATGTATGTTTAGTAATCATACCAGGTTGATAAACTAGTTTAGAAAATGTGCTTAGAGGTAAAACCACTGATTATATTGCATACCTCCCTTAAATACCAGTAACATTGGTATCACAAGTTTGTGAACTACATTTCCCAGGATACCCAGCTAGCCTAAAACGCCTATGGGTAGATATCACTGCTCCAGTTCTAGCAAACTAAGGACCGTGTTGCCATAATTACAGTATGAGAATATACTGCATGTCTAGCATACATTGTAACTGTTTATCAGAATGCAAATGCTGCAAGCTTGTCTATTTGGTCACACTGTACCTTCATAGACTCTTCCTATCAGATTCTTTTTCCATAGCATTTGGACTTTCAGATATTAAATAGTGCGTGAGCACTGTGTGTGATCAGGTTGTAATAATGACCTTTTATTTAAAACCTTCTTATAGTCAAAGCATTTTGTTTTGGCTACGAACAATTCTACATGGTTTGCGCCATTGTGGTTATAAAAACGATCAGAATCTAATAATCTATGCAATGAAGGGGACATAGTGGACACAGTTACACGTACCTTGGCATAGTCAAGTGGAAGTTGATCCTCTGGACATTTAAATACTCCCTCACTGCAAAGAGAAAAAAAACAAACAAAGAAAGACTTAAGTAAATCATGATCCAAATATAACCTTGATTGTCTCGAAAACAGACAATTCCTTATCAAAGCTTATACCGCAAGAATCTTTCATGGTCACGGAAGAGTGTAAAGTAATACATGTGGTCAGTAAATGCATGGAATAACAAACTCAATTTAATCGCACATTATTTATATTTATTAATATATATTCTAGAATCTTCCCTGCACACCAATAACCTCTATAGCAGTCTTCTCCTAGGAGCAATTCTGCTGCACAACTTGACACTTACTGCTGTGAGAAGATTGTTCTATTGATCAGTAGGTCCCAAATACAACTTAAACAGTCAGAAGAAGAACAAAATGATCTATAAACTTGGTGCACAGAGAAGAGTGGCTTTCACAGACAAAAAGACATTATATATATATACACATACACACATACATACATACATACATACACACCCCTTAGGCTTATATATGATAAGAGAATACACTGGTACATAAACTTAGGGAAAGTTAAACATCACAGGGACCATTGGTAACATTCTAAAACAAATGAGACATTCCACACAAATATATGTACAACATAGATGGTTCATAGAATATAAAATATATTATTAAACGGAGAGACAATGTTTAAATTATTATTTTTATAGCATTTGGCCCAACTAACTGAATTTATGTCAGCACTGTCAGAGGACAACGTAAAAGCTACTGGAACATCTTTATTGTCAGAATATTTTCTTGTCTGGGCTAACTGCATGTAATGTATGTATCTGTTATCTTGTATTTCACGCGATTGGTTGCTTTTGCACGTTCTATGTACACATTGTGTTATGGAACTGTTTGATTCTAGTCGGTTGTGTCAAAAAAGTAAAAGTGTAAAAAAAAAAAAAAAAAATTTATGAGTCCAGCAAGGCAGGACATGAGAAGGTCTGAGTCAAGATAAAAGACTCGTGTGGAGCCTTTATATAAACAAAATGTGTGTGCCTTCTGGAAAACACTGTATACACTACTGTATATTTAAAGAGTGTGCATAAATTAATAATAAGAGCAGTTTTGGTACTTGGAAACAGTTGGCAGAATCATCCCTTTAATTGTGTGCAGATGAGCAGCCTATTCGCTATGCGCCCGTATATACTCTGAAAACGCATCTGTCAGCCATAACAGCGTTTGATAATCCAAATCTAGGGTCATAACCCAGCTCTCACCACTTTCCAAAAAACATGAAAAGGATGAGGGAAGATCTTTTGAGGCTAGATAATGCTTTGGTCTTTGAGACAGGATTCACTCCTATATGTAACTCAATAATAGCGTGATTACAAGATGTGTGGGAGATTTTAAAGAGGAATCTATACACAAACATTTTACCCCATTATTTTTTTGTTATTATTTATGAACGACCCCTACATATGCATGCAGTAACATGAAAGCAAACACAAATTACTTTCCAAAAGCTAATATTTTAAATATTTCTAATCGGCATTCTACATATTTTCAAGAAAACAAAAACACAACAACTAGATTAATATTTATAGTAAAAAGGGATTGGACAAGTCCTAGGAAGGAATAGACCTGCTTTTACATGAGACACTAAAGCATGGTTCTCAGAACATTTAGATCTTTCCACACTAAAACGTTGCATTCTGATGTTACAAATCATTCAGTATGAGCCCAATTACAGACACATCTGGCGTAATATGCAGATGTTGTTAAAAACTCATCCTGCCAGCTGGCGCGTAAATCATCTTTGTTCTGGAACTTCCTCTCCCTTCGTATAACCTCATCTTTACTGCACATGCAAATATTGCACAAAGACTGTGTTTTCCCATACCGAGTTCTGCGCCTACACATGCTTTATTTAATACTCCTAGTGGATTTCATTTTCTGAAGGAAATTTTATTTTTTCCAGCCTCTACAAAACCTCTTTATAGGGAAAAAAAAATCCCATTTGAACTCTTCTTGAAGTGGTTTGTAACTAATGAAAGCTAACTGTGCAATATAATATGCACTAGGGTCTCTGCTCATCCTTCTACCGTACTACTAGTGGAACAATAGTGCTATAGAGGTGGTCAAACTCCCATTCCCAGATATGGGTATGGCTTGTAGTGTGTTATATGAAGTTCGAGACCAACATTATAAAAGTACCTTTAGCTCTGACTCTATTATGAAACATCCAGCCTACTGTTACGACTAATGTAGAATATTGATGTATAGATATACACACACACACACACACACACACAAACACGCACGTCAACAGTCATATCAAGAAAAACTGAAAACTCCACAAAATGCACAAACGAAAGAAGTCACATTAAACGCACACAAGTTACAGGCACACTCTTTGTGATTTCCTTCTTGTGTTACTACAATACGCACAGAGCACATCACAAGTTGCGGCTGTAGAGGTCAGCCAGTGATTAGGAAGTCAGTTCAGAAAGTTTAGTCACAGATTCTTGAATTTGTTCATGAACCCCCTCCCTAGCTTTGGCATACAAAGAAACAAAAAACGTGAAATGCGAGGCAGACAGGATCCAGCAGAGAGTTTATAGTCAGTCTTTGTGACACTGCTGCTCCCAGTCACCGTAATACCCTCTCCACTAAGTTAATATTTAACTTCATCCTTTGCAAGGAAAGCAAATATGCACACAACGCCACAACCATATGCATTACGAAAACACAGTAACAAGGATGTAAATGTTACTGTACCTTTAACGCAAACATTCCATTCTTTCTTAAACGGCCACAGATTCTTGATCTTTTAACATTCTCAAACAAGAGATCAGAGAGTGCTGGGCTCAGGAAACCACAGAAATTATAGCAGCAAGACGAGAAACACAAGCTATGACTGTATCAAACTCATAGTTCACAGGGCGCACAAATCAAGGACTGGAATGAACAAAGCTTGTACTGCGTCCTGTCACTCCCCAATGATCTGATAAGTTAAAGTGCAGCTATTATCTATGAAAGGTACAAAAGGGCAGAGAAATAAAATTAAAAAAAAAGAAATAATAAAAAAAAAAAAAAAGATAGGAATTAGATGTAAAGGGACACTATTTACAATGAACATTTTCTTCAATTCATTGTATTCTTTAGACTTTTCAGTGTGTTTTAGAATAATGAGTCCACTTTTATTTCCAACTTTTTTTAGTTTAATTTAGTAGTTTTAATGTCACACTTTGTGTATCCACATTATAGCCCAATAATAATGCATGGGATGCAGGGTACCAAGCAGCTTAACTGATTAACTGCTAGCTTCACATATTATAGGGTGCCCAAATTATTTTTTAAATCCCTAAAATATAATATTTAAATAATAATAATAATAAATAATATGCAGTTTTAGCCCAAAGTGGAAGCTTTTAAAATGTCAAAATAACTACCCTTTTCAAAGAGTATTCTTAAAAGACAACCACCCCTCACCCCCTCCAAAAAATATGCACACATTTATTGATCTGTTCTACTCACTCACATACGTCAATAGTTAAGAGTGAAAGGAGGAAGAGAGGATTCTGGGAAGTTAGCTTGAGACAACATTAAAACATTTGTAGGAGCATTGCATGGTAACATAAGAGGCTGCAGGATGTAACAAACAATACAATGTACAAATCCACATTTGTGCCAAGCAGCTGTTCCCCTCCCCACCCAAAAATATGCTTTGGGAATTAATTTCAGGAATTCCCACTTTCACTTAGCAAGTTCATGTCTTCCCTTTGCCAATCACCTGCTGCATGATGGGACAGGGGAAGGGGGAAGGGAGAGTCCCATGGGTAATCATTACAGAAACTGTCAAAACCAATGCTTAAAAACACCTGTCTCATCAAAGTGTTTCTTACAATGCAAATCTATGTTCATCGTAAGGGAAAATTACACGGACTGTCACTCAAAAAGGAAAATAAAATGCATTTTTATGACTACATAAATTATGTTACAATGACATCTACATATCTTTATTTTCAGGACTACCCGTATGTGTTTCAGCACAACCACAATCGACTTTGCTCTCAATACCTGGGTCTTTGTGTACACACACACACACACACACACTTTTTTGTGTTTTTTTTTGTAACCACATATTGTAAAACCTGAAAATAAAATTTTTAAAACATGCAACAGTTTGAAAATGTTTCTAACTTGCTTATTTTTGTGCAAACTTCACAAATATGTTTTATTTATTTTTTTAATTGACTAATGCACGGTTTAATAAATAAACCCCTTAGATCTGACAGGGCCGGTATAAAATAAATACAGAAAATCGGTGTTCAGTACTTATGTGCACTACGAATGCAACGTCTTTGAAATCAGATTAACATACTTCTAAGTAATTTTAGGTTTATTCATTTTTATTTTTGCAGAATCGCAAAAATAAATAAAATGAAAACACACTATGAATAATATAATATACTGAACGGAACAAAAACAAAAATCAGAATTGTGGCAACTAAAGTCTAGTGAAATAAATAAATAAACACACACTTTGTAATGCTGCATGTGACCCAAATCAATCACTCATCTATAGCAGCTGGTATTATAGAACCATAATAATTATAATGAAAGGCATTCTCCAACCACATAATACAGCCTGATCTGTGAACAATTACGCAGAAATTACAGCATACACTTAACATGTAAGGCTTTACAGTGAAGAAAACAAAATGCAGAGGATGGGGGGAAGAGTTAAATTGTCCTGCTTTTTTTGTTTCATCTGCAAAAACTAAAATTTAACAAGATTACTAGAATTTCTGCTTTACCGGGAGTATATATGAACAAATTGTGCTCCTTCACTCTGCTTCAACAGATTTAATGTGAACAAAAAGGCTAATAAAGTAACTTTTGACATATTTTAGAGAATATAAAAAAAAATGATAATCTCACTGTCGGAGTTATTCACTTACTAAGTGAGAAAACATGAATGTTTTCCGAACGTTCTATGCCCTATCCCCATTACAAGTTAAATAATAAATAAAAGTAAATAATACGCCATTAGAGGCGCTTCCTGCGGTTTTATGGAGATTTTGTGGAATGACACTGGACAACCTGACTCTTTGCGTGAGGATGTCCAGGGTCTTCAAATCCCCCATAGGAAAGCATTGATTCTATGCGCATGCACATTAGGTCTGCTCTCTGCACTGACATCAGAGGAAGTGGAGCCAGTGCCAAAGGTTTAGCACTGGAATCAGATAAGTGTTAAAGTTTTTTTTATTAACCCTTCAATTGCCGGGAGGGGGGTGCAAGGGAGGGATTGCAGGTAGACACTGATGTTCCTTCAATACTGTGCATGACAGTTCTGAATATGTGACCTTTCTGTTGTCCTTGAGGAGGCAAGGACTAAATTTGGATGTGAACTAGGATTTAAACTCAGTTAATGTCATCTGCACCTTAAAACAAATAAAATTAAAAAAAACCTTTTGCATAAAATATGGTCTCTTCACCACTATTAAGATATTTCACAAAAATCTTTCTAACCCTCAGGGTTAGAATGAAATACATCATAGCATGTTGGCATTTAATGCTTTGTAGGATTGTTATGGTTTAGTAAACCACTTGACAATGAATTATGAGCATTAATCTCCATGCTCGTTTAGCATTATTTTTACATTAACACCCAACTAAATTAATGTAGGGGAAACTCCAAAACCTTTGTTCTAGCAACAACGGTTCTTTCCTTTCAAAAGAGTAAAAATAAAGAAGATGTAATAGATTGGTCTCATCTTTACAGTTTTGCTGAAGGCGACAGAGGAGAATAAAACAGATTTTCCATAATTGGCAGATTTCTCCTTTTTGTATATAAACATTTTGCAAGCTGTCACTATAAGAAGATGAACTTTGTACACTCGAAACGAATGTTGCAGAATCATCAACGGAAGCAAAACCAATTGATTAAAGGATAAACCGTTTGATTAAAAGTGGGAACAGTAACATCTCTGCAAAGTATGCCATTGAGTAGAACATTGAAAAATCACCTGTAACTTGTGCTTTTTTTTCTAGCAATGATCCATTTAAATTTAGACTTGCATATTACATCATAATCCAGTTCAGGCAAAACCAAGCCAGGTCAAAAACAGTGCGAATGAAGAGGAGGAATAGAAACATTGTTTAATTTATTATCTGAATATTTTCTTTGTGCAGGGTGCAAAGATGGTTGCAGGATAGATTTGTACTTTTACTTTTTTTTTTTATGAATCACAAATACATATTTGTCAAGAACAATTCCCTTTTAAAGAGCAGCAACCGTAAAAAAAAAAAAATAAAAAAAAAAAATGTTCATGGAGAACATTATCTCTGTAGTTCCAACACAACGGAAAGTGACGTCCTAGTTCTAACCAACTGTGCACACTGAGAATATTTGCCCTCACTAACAGGCCTACTGAGAAGTTAGACTTTGCTGAAAAGAATGTTTGCTTTCCTGGATGGACAGGAATGTTATTGTAGAAGACAAAAAAAAAAAAACACTTAATATTTCTGCATTAAAGGGATACAGTGAAGTGGTTGGGGTGCAGTGCCCTTGTCATTTAAAAGGGACACTCCTGATCTCTAAACCACTTTAGCTGCCTGAAAAGCATTTTTTTTTTTTTTTTTTTTTACGATTTTGCAAAAAAGTGCAGATTTTAATAGAAATTTATACTTTTAGAAATTTACTCTGTTAGACACCCCTGGCTTTTCAAGCAGACCGCAAAATCAGGTCCTGTTTCTTCCTGGTTTGGTTAGCTTAGCCTTAGTTGCACAGAACTCAAGTAGCAGCAATTGCCCATTGCACCTGCCTTACAAAGATTGCTCATTGAGCTGCATTGGAAAGTCTGTTATTGGACAGCCACAGAAAGTCTGTGTGAAGTTAGAAGGGGAGGCCGCAGACAAAAGATCTGCTGTTTTTGCAAGCTGTTTTTAGATACAACACCAATGGGTGAAAAAAAAAAATGCAAAATTAAATGCATGCAAGTTTTCATTTGGGGGCATATCTACTAAACCATGATATATATATGGAGAGGGGCATCTAAACAGGAATGGGGCACTATAGCGGTAGTAATACAGGTTTATATTCCTAACTTTATAATGTTCTTTAATTCTCAAGAATGGAAAGTTGAGGATTTCCACTGTATTACCTATAACCTGGATGTTAAAATGGTTGCATATTCTGTTCTCCATTCTATAAAAAGTATAATTTGTCAATTTATAAAAAGACACGCAGAAAGTTTAATATTTTATTTTTCCTATTAAAGGCGAATGTGTGCCACCAACAACGTCCCTCATCAAGTTGTGGTCTTGACAGAGTAAACTGTGAATGCAATTTGCCTTGAGTCATACTGCAACCATCCCGCTTCCTAAATATTATAGCCCTGGCAGACTAAGCAATGATTGCTCTAGACCCTCACAGAGCTGGCCAACTAAACCTCAGATCATGGCTGTCATAGAAGAGACAGATACTTTTGTGTGTCAGCTGTACCAGGCACCATAGCGAGAGAACAGCTGAAACACACAGCAAAGCATGGGCCTCAGAGCAGTCTCTCTTGCTTTCTACATGAAGACAGCTGTGTGCAACAGAGTTTGCATTTAAATGGCAGTGAGCAGCTATATTTGATATTGTTTGATATACGTTCTATGGAAAATAAAATGCAAATTATATTATGTATGCACAGTGTAAGAATATATCGGGGGGGAAAAAAACACCATAAACTGAAACCAAGTTTCTTATCCGGTGGTATGGTTTTTGGCATATCAGTACCAATTTAATTCAGGTGTGAATTTGATTTGATAGCGAATATTAATGGGGCTTGATTTTGACACGGACAAAAGGAATCTAAATAAATCGTTATTTTACATTGTGAGACTATAGGTACACTTTCAGGACCACAAGAGTGACAAGTGAAGGCTATAAAAACCACCTACATTATTACAGCCGCTCACAATGTATAGCCAATAACAGATTTCACAACCCTGATCACACATGGTGTTCTATGCAAATTATGAGTAAGGACCTCACAGATCAACCCGCCTGTAAACTCCCAAGGTTCTGTCGAATATTTACCAGGAAAGTTTTACTCCCCATCTATTTATTTATTTTTTTAATTAAACTTTTTTGCAAACTAGATGCATATAAAAAAAAGTTTTACATGGGATAGGTTGGTACAGGAGAGTGTAGAATTACCAGGCACTGTAATGTACTCTTAAGGCTGGGTATTACACCCAAGAATCTACAGTGGCTTCAAAATTCCGTTGGCAGCATTATGCATGCCAAGAGACGTGCCTACTTGTAGAGTCAATTTAAATTGCACTCAGGTTCACAGTAGCCTGCCATGGTCATGCTCTCATGGTTGTATGAGTAGACAAGCACTCATTATTACATGCACATAACAGCACAACTAAGCAAAACTGAAACAGTAAAACGGATGTCACACATCTTCCCACTACTTCCCAAGACAAGCAATGGAATTGTGCACTCTGTTTTTGTGGGAGAAAGTGCTACATTGTGATTTTGAGGGATAAAACAGACACACACAGACTTCCTTTCCAGTCACCTTTAAATTTCCAAAACATATGACTCCTAGGAATGAGGTTATTTAGGGCCACAAGAACAATGAGAAGATTCTGTTCTCTTTCAGCAAAAGAGAATGCACAGGCTTCAATACCTGCCAAAGCTTGACAGCTTGTATCGCCGAGATACAGCTAGGATGTTTGCAGTTAAAAGGTGCCAGGAGCACTTTGCTTTGAAAATGAGTTGGTAGTGGATTAGGATAAAAGTCATTTTTATCAAAAAGTCAAAGAAGAAACCATTGTTCACTCGAGATATCCATTATGGGTGAATGAATAGAGCCTTAGAGTGCTCTGATAAGAAGGCAGTCTTATTGTATTTGGGATAGGAGTCGGGAGGGGTTTAGTATGTAACATGGTCTGGCTACCTATTTATTGTATCTCTAATCCAGTCTGGTGACCTGAGTGATTAAAATGAAATGAGGCACAAGTCGCTAAGCAAGAAGATCTAGGGCATTTATCTAAAATGTCCTAATTCTTTATACTTTTGCCATTATAAACTTCCAGTTCAAGCTTTTCCAGCACTGTACTGTATGTGCGGTTTTATTCAATAAAGCTTTAAAACAAACAACAAAAAATTTTAAAAATGTTTTTAATTGTTTTAGCAGCCAAACAAAAAGTAACTGTCAACTCCATAAAATAACACAAAGTATAAAAATAATTGAGTAATCAGTATGCTCTCCCCAATGTGCGGTAGGGATGTGGAAAAACCAATGATCTCCTGTTTCTCTGTTTGAGTTGATCAATATAATTTATTGGGGGAGAGGAGGTTTCATGGCCGACTCCAACAAATATATTCTCTCTTCTCAGCTCAAAAGGTAAGTGGGGGTCACTGTACTTCCCCTGCTCCCACCTCCTTTAGACATTTAAGACACAGCCAGGGTAGAGACTAGCCATTCAGGATTATTTTGTAGATACTTCATTGTTATGATATTCTATTTGTAAGAACACAGAAGAGTTCAAAGTTTTTTTACATTATTACAGTGAAGGGTAATACCATTTTCACTTAAATTCGATTTTTCGTGGTTAACGCGGTGTGTGTGTGTGTGTGTTGATTTAAAAGACTCTCCCACACAGCTCTTAAGGAGACAATGGGCTGCAATTAGCTGCTCTAGCCAATCACATTCCTTCATTTATTCCCCCCTGAGTTCCTACCCAGCATCCTTTAAATCAGGACAAGTACTAGGAGTACTAAAAACAAGTGAGAAGATTGATCTAATGACTTGTCAAACCTTTTCAGTTATTTTGAGGTGTTAGTGGTACCAACTCCATTTTGAATGTTCATTCATTAAATGATCTGTAATGTTCATCACTTGCATTCTTCAATCATGACTCTTGAAAGGAAATGTGTACTAAACACTGGAGACATTGCGTGTTCATTATGGTGCCAAATGGACCATATCTTGCATCCGTGTCAGTTTCAGTGATACTTCACCTTTGACTCCTGCACAGTCCCCAAAGCTGGTAACATATTGCTATAAAAATGAGAAGCAGACCATGTGGCACCAATGAGTCGAGAAGACCATTAGGGGGTTTCAAATAAGAATTAACATGATAGTGAAGATCACTTTACACTTCCTGCCTCACTGAACATCCCTGTCAAAAGCACAATATTAGCTGTCTGCACGCTAACCTGAATGGCTCCTTTAAAAAGCAGTTTAGGTCACTTAACATTACTTTTTAAAAACAATAAAAAACATCCCACAGACTTTAAAAAAAAAAATTAAAAAAAAAAAAGTGTAAAAGGAAAAAGAAAATAACCCTGCAACATTCCAAATGCAGACAAAAAAAATAAAATTAAAATAAAACACAAACACAAACAATGCGATAGTGGATTTTACAATATGTACATAGGTTTCCAGAACCATTTACACAATCATTCACAAAAAAGACCCTATCTGCCTTTTCACACCTACTACAAGCAAGCAGATGTCAGCACAACTTCACCATCTGTTGCTAGGCAGACTGTTGTCACAGCAAGGATATGCAGTCTAGGCAAAACGAGCTAAGCAAGAGACGGTTATTAAACTACCCTGTACAAATAACCTGCTGCTGTTGGATTTCATTGTTAAAAGGAACCACTGTCTTTTTACACCTTTATATTTATTGGTTTTTTTAATGCATTGGTGAGGTAACGCATTTCTGACTGCATGTTATTTTTCTAAACCTCCAATCTCATCTCAATGAGCTTAATAAATCAGGTTCTTATAGCGGTGTAGTAAACGGAATGTTTGCACATTTGACTCACTGAGTCAATACTGAAATTTTGCATCTAAACAAAAACTATATGCAGATGGCATGCATACACACACATATGAACACACGTAAGTAAAGGATGCACTCACAGGTCTGTTGAAGTTGAAAAAGGAATGTTGCAGTTTAGAATGCCATAGGCATTATATCATGGCTTCCGGTCAACGCTTCGACCCCCAGAGGATCTTTATCAAGATCTAATTTTTGTTGAAACTCTCTGACCCAGGAATTGTGTTGATTTTTTGTTTAATTTTTTCCATTTAAATGTACAATATTATTCAGATCGATGGCCACAATGACTAACAGAGCCATGTCATCAAGCACTAATAACCTATTTCATTATCTGTGACTGGTAATTCCGGTTTAGTATCAATCAATTAGTGAATCACATAGAACAAATTAATAGCAGTACTTACACTCTGTTTAATCATTTACGGCACTGGCACCTCACTTATCGGCCCTGCTCAATGTGCATTCACGCCATTGGCTATATGACCCCTCTTTGATGTATTCTATATACGTTCAAAGTCTCACAATGTCAGGTTGTTGACAAAACACTACTGATATCTATAAAGCAATTGTTATATAGCACTTATACTTCAACAGCAATTCTAGAATCACTCAAAAGACATATCATAAAACAAACAGTCCCAATCACTGGCATGTTGTGGTTTTATTTTAACCATTTAACACAGAATATAAGAGTTTTAAGCAACGGTCATCTACAAAGCAGATGTTTATACAGTGTTTGAATGGGAATGATAGATTTATGGAAGTTAAAGGGACATCCTGGGTACCAACTCACCATATGTACAGTTTGATAGTAACCACTGTAAGTGGCCATGCAGCACATGGATATGTTGTGGGCTGGGGAAGAAACTACCAGTCATCATTGACATATATTCCTCCCTAACCCTTTCCCTCCCCCCACCCCCCTCCCTCCCAATCACACCTTTCATATGTTTTATTTTTTCCCCCATTTAGCCAACCCCAAAAATTGTACTTTGCACTATTTAAAACAGGGAAGCAGACTATTCCGCCTGTACATTCACTGGAACAGGGATTTTCCATCTAAGTCTCCTTTTCCATCCTCTATTTGTGAATATTTCCACTCAATAATTTCTCATCTTTTCTTTCCTTTCCCTGCTTCTACTTTTCTCTCATTTAAGACTCAGTTTTCCCAGAGACTCCTAAAGACTGGAGATAACAGCTAGATCCACTAAGTCAGCACCTCTCCTCTCACCGGCACCAGCTGCTGGGGGAACAAGGCTTAAAGTGCTCTGTATACTAGTCTAAGAAAGAGGACAGAGGCATGAGAAGGCAAACAAGGGAAAACCACAGATAATTGTGCTACCCACTCTCTGCACTTTCTTGGAATGCCCAAAGCAACGATTCCCTATGAGAATCACGGCTTCTAGCTGACTGAATCTCAGCCAGCTTCCAGAAATTAAATTTCTAGAAGATTTTTAAAGGAAGATGCAGGCTAGCAGCCAGGTAGAGGTTAGTCTGAACAGGGAACAGATAAAAAAAAACAAAAAAAAACAAAAAAAACACCACCACATTTTAGGGGTTCTATCTGTGCCTTTTTGTGACTGTATACACCTTAATGAGGTCACCCACGTACGGCAGCCTTGGCAATGTAAACAATAACCTCCTTACTATTGTCTGTGCCAGTTCTGGTAAACTGCATTTCAATACTGTAACACTGTACTGCCTATAGTCCGTTTTAATAAGCTCACTACAATTTCTGTTGAAAATAAGTTTATACACATCTACACACACAAACACACCCCTGATTGTTACAATGTTCATGTGTTCCAATGACTGCATGTATGAAAAAAAATAAATAAAATAAATGTATACAGGTTTTGACAAAATAACAAAAGCCGCAGGATGTGAAGCTATAAGAAAATAAAATAGGGGATTTGTGGGATACATCTGATTTCAAATAATTAAGCCCATTCTATGTATGTGCATCAGTGTGTATCAATGTCAAGTTCTATAGCGAGAGCTAGACAGGTAACAGCAGGCCCTGCATCAGTTCCTCAATTCTTATTCTCCCACAAGACTGGGCTTGCTCCCCACGCTCAGTGCACACAGCCAAGGAGTGTTAGAAGGCATGGGCGGTGTAAGAGATTAGTAGACAGATTCTAATAAACCTTTCAGTTGTAGCAGAATGAGAAAGTACTATTTAGATTACACAATTACTTATCTGTACATTAAGATAACTCCCTTCCCCCATTTTTGGCCTTTGTCGTTTGAAATGGTTTAATGTAATATGTAATGTCTTGGTTTTTATGGATTCAATAATTAGATGGCCTTTGGTTATAAAAATAAATGAAGATTACAGGCGATTGTTAATCTTCAACGCTTCCAGACATCTCAAAAAGGGACACAGAAAATGGCTTTAATCTTTTTCCATACAGACATATTTTAGAAAGCTTACTTTGTTACCAACTTTATCTGATTCTATCTAAAATTATTACTTGCACACAACGTGGTGGTTGCTCCAGTGATTTGTTTTTGGTTTTTATGTGGGTGGGAGGGGGGAGATTATATGAGTTTATAGGTCAGGTTTCTTAGATTTAATATAGTAAAACAAAATATGCATGTGTCCTACTTTGAGGACAACAAGAAGTTGTAAACACACACACACACACACACACAAAAAGACAAATACACAAGACAAGAATATCTTGATAAAGACTGTGAGGTCGAAACGTTGATCTACTTTGTGAACATTTAAATACACTAAATTGATTATTTTTTTAATCCAGTGAGTGCGCTTATTTTTTCATATTGGATATATTATATATAAACACACACAAAACGACAGATATGCATAAGACATAAGAATGAATGTTTCCCCTTTAAATGCTGCTGTCTTAATGGAAACATAATCTGAATTTTAAGTGGCAGGTGTAAGCGTAGGTAAGTCTACACAAAAGGGGATTATTCTTAAAACAGTGAATTGTAGCTAACTAAAAACCAAACTGAGACATTTTCAAACACACACACAAAAAAAAAAAGCCAATGCTGTGACTATTTTCCAGTTAGACAGTTTTTTGTAATTGGACCATTTTGGTCTAAATTGTGCTAAATTTAATTTTAAAGTTTTGCAACAAAACTCGTTTCTAGGTGTCTAAATGTGCCTGCACAATGTTCATGTTGGTTGTTGGTTTCCCACATCATGGGCAAGGATTATGGGATTAGTATTAATCTACAACTGTTGAGTTTTGCAACTGAACTTGGCAAAATACCCAAGCCGGGAGCATGCAAAGTCCTAGGTCTAATCGAAGCAGGGCTGAAAGGTGTAGAAAACCATAGTTGAAACTTGTAGAGGCAAGTTCAGCTAAAAATAGAACCCACACTGAAATTAATGGGCTCCGATGAAATTGGAGCAACTCTAGTGACAACAAATTTTTAGTAATGCATATTTAACAAACTGTGCTCCTTCTAGATCAACGTTTCCCAAACCAGTATTCAAGACCCACCAACAGTCCAGGTTTTGTTAGTATCTCCATTGGAATAAAACAGGGAAATACATAAATTCTGGACTGTTAGGCCATAAGGACTGGTTTGGGAGCCACTGTTCTAGATAATTATAGGAGATCAAGCAAATCAAACTTTTTTTTTTTTTTTTAAATATGCATTTATAGGACACGTTTTAGCTTTGGTAACTTCATGAGAAGATAAAACATTTTAACCGTCAGGGATACTGAAATGCATTGGCTGCACTGTGAATTCAGATTTCATTTGGCAGCGCTGTCAATATTCTAGAATTATGACTATTCTGCAATTAGACAGGAGGTTTCTAGAAAGCAACACAGGAATATTGGAGAATATTTTTTATTTCCATCCATATAAAAAAAAAAAAAAAAAATTAGTCTGATTTAGTAAAAATATATAGTCACAGCAATTTGGGTTTCAGTTCACTATTTAGACCCCATAGCATGTTAATCAGGGCCACACACTCCACAGCAGTATTCTTTTATGAAGTGACTGACAGTAAATTCCATGTCAATCAATATGATTGGGGTTGTTTACAAAATTGTTGATACAGGTTGAAATGAACCTGCGCAATATCAGCCTTACCCCCCACCCAGACCCTTCCCATTGCCTTGTGCAAAATATCATCCATAGAAAGCGGTCTAGGAAAGCATTAATCAGAGTGACAAGTGTGCAGAGTGAGGCTTGGCTGAGCTGTGGGGGGGGGGGGGTTATTAATAGGCACGTGCATAAATCTGTAATGTGAGGGGCCAGCTGGCTATGTAGCTCTCCCCTCCAGTCCTTGTGTGTTTACAGCTCCACCCAGTGTCATTCCCAGTGCAGCAGCCATTATGTGTCAGCCAAGTGGCACTTAATGAAGTCAGGAATAGAGAGGGGATGTTCATCAGGGCCCAAATGCAGGTGGGGGGGAGGGCTGTAATAAATGGCTATGCAGCACTTATTTCCAATCCCCTGCTTATCCAATGAACTATGAAACCTGACCTGGAAAATATTGTAAATCCCTGCTTTCAGACCACAGGCTTCTGAACAGCAATAACATCATCTCATAAATAGACATGCAGAAAAAAAAATATATACACACATAACATGTATGGCTTGGCATTAATAAAAAAAAAAAAATAATATATATACACAAGTTTTTGCTCTGTATAATGTGTTTTGCTGCCCAGTTAGCGGAGCCTAGCATCAATATAGTCCAAAACAACTTGCATGGGCCATATTAGCCATTACTGCGATTTGGTATGGTATAATGCAGATATTAGACTTCCAGATGTTGGTGCACTATAACAACCATGAACCGTTGACAATGTTTGACTAACAAAAGGTTCCTGGAATTTTCAGTTTGCTGGAGTCCAGGATTTGAATATTAAAAGTCCATTGTGCATTTACTTCCCATCTGCTACAGAACACGAGCAGAAACATGGTAATTCTATGCACGTTACAATAGGAGTTTAGAAAGCGCAGGAAGAAGTCATCTCTAAATTTACATTAAACAAAACTAGAGACTAAAGTGAAACTGGTCCTGAATTACTTTCAATGGGCAATCTATTCAAGCCCTTTAACCAAAAGAAAGAAAGAGACAGGGCTTTCTGTAAACATGACAGAGCAGGATAGACCAGGAACTTAACATGAAGATACTAGAGATCACAGAGTCCAGATTAAAACCTTCCTTCTTCCTTATTTCAAAACAATCTTCCCAAAAAGGCCCAGAGTAAATGTCATGTTACTGTTATAAGACAGAATAATGTTACTATTATAAGAGCGGAGACAACATTCCAGTGGAAATTACATATCCACAACCAAAGGGAGTCATAATAAGCAATAATCACCCTATCATTGAGGTTTAAGAGATATAGCGCTTGGGATCTTCAGTGCTCTGTAGACCACTAACTTGTAGACTGATACATTTGTGAACTTATTCACAACTATGTCACCCATGAGTTTCAACTCCAAGGAGGAGCATACAGTATACACAGCGCCAACCTCTTCCATAGATTGAGAGATATAGATAGATAGATATATATATATATATATATATATATATATATATATATATATATACATATACATATACACACATACATACACACACACACACACATATACACACACACACACACACACATATACACACATATACATATATATATACACACACACACACACACACACACACACACACGGCCTCACAATATTAGGAGCCTATTTACAGGTCTGTAGGAAATGGTTTGGCCCTGGAGATCTCAATAGGTTCTCGTTTATTGCTTTCATATCATTAATATAATTCACACAGCATTTTCCAAGTGTCTTTAAAAAAGCAATTGCTGCGGTTACTAAAATTATAGGGCTACAAGGAGGTTAATAGGAGGGCACAAATATTAAAATAAACTCATGTGTTTGTTATGTACTGACCAGGGCACCAAAGCATACCTCCCACCATTCAAATAGACAAAGAGGGACACTTAAAATGTAGCGGTATGAGTGGGGGGGTGGCTGTTCTGAGAGATTTTAGGCGACAAACAATTTATGCAACTAAGCTGCAATTTGGAAGAATGACAATGTATCTTATTTACACAGTTTGCTTTCTAAACATTTATTGTAGCTTAAAGATACATTACTGGGAGTATTATTGCTGTGGAGCTCTGTTATACACTCAAACACACCAACAATATGGAGCTCATAGAAAGGAGGGACATTTAAGATAGAAAAGAGGGCCAAAGATCTGGGCCCAAAATACAGACTCTTGGAAGGTACACCAAAACTTGAACTGATAACTCCCTGCAAACAATGAAGAGAACTATGCATGTAATAAATAAAAGCAACTGTTTAAACAGAATTAATATAACTGAATGACTCTCTGGGTGAAATGGAGGTTATTTTTTAAATCCACTATGCAAAAGATATACTGACTTTCATTTAATGTAGATAGTCACGAGCTAGAAGCAAGTCAGGATTGTTAAGATCTGTTCAATGTTTCATGAGAATTGTTGCAATCACAAAAATCGCAGGTTTATGGAGATAACCTAGCCAGTGCATGTATCAGTGCTCACATTGTCACCTTGTTTACAGTGCCGGTGTAGACCCCAGTGGGAACCCCACCAACCTTTGAGTATTCAATGCTTGGGCATTTTAATCAGGCATAAGTTCAAGGACAAAATAAAATACAGTTAAGTAATTAGTCTTATAACCTCAGCAATTATCATTATTAGTTCCTAATTCGCTTGCTACCAGTGATCATAAAAATGCAAAGCTCGGTCATACGATTTCAGTTTTAAAGCTACTCAGCATTTGGAAGCTCTCAGTGAATTGTGTAATAACTTAATCCCATGCAGAGGCAAGAATGCAAAACCTACCCCCACCAGGAGTTTACAGTACTGTAGACAGCTTCAAGCACTGTGCACTTGAGATCAGAGCTGTGAAACAGAAGCACAATCAGTAATGGGTCAGTTAATGAACATAACCCTTTCACTGCCAGCAGTAATTAGAACACATAGGGCCTGAAAATAGTTGGCACTCTTCAATACACACAAACATTTGGCTGCCTTATTCGAACAATGCTCATGGTTACTAAGTGTTGTCATGCCTGCTGGACAACCTAGTGCTGGGATTTCAAGGTAGAATTCTTAAAATCCAATTTGAATAATGATTTCTCTAATAAGAAAGTACAGGTAAATCATCACTGACCTTATATTAAGGAGGGGTTGTGTTAAAAAGTCTGGCTATAGAAACAGTGGAGCTACTTGAAAAGCATTGTAAAATTACTACCCTGTTTCCCCGAAAATACACCCTACCCCGAAAATAAGCCCTAGCTGGATTATCGGGGTGGGCTGCAATATAAGCCCTACCCCGAAAATAAGACCTAGGCATTGCACCTTTGCGGCCCGGCGAGACTTCCTTCTTCTACCGTATGAGGAGGAGGGGAGGAGCGTTGCGGGCCGCGGCATCGCGCAACGTGATGACGACCTTTCGCAGCGCCGTCAGTCTGCCTTCACGGATCTTCAGCGGAAGGATCCATTTCCGGGCGGTGAGGCTCCCAGTGGTCGGACTCGGCAAGGAATCTTTGAAATGTGAGTACCGCTAGATATTTTATGTCTGGGATTAATTTGAATTAATTAAAGGGGGTGGGGGGGTGAATTAATTAAAGGGTGGGCTGGATTAATTAGAGGGGGGTGAATTAATTAAAGGGTGGGCTGGATTAATTAGAGGGGGTGGATTAATTAAAGGGGGGGGTGGATTAATTAGAGGGGGGTGGATTAATTAGACAGTACGGTATTTTGATCCCCAGACAAGATGAGTGCAAAGAGAAAGAGCTGTACATACCGGTACCGTAAATAAATAAGCCCTACCCTGAAAATAAGCCCTAGTGTGTTTTTTGTGACTAAAATTAATATAAGACCCGGTCTTATTTTCGGAGAAACACGGGTATATATATCACAAAATAACTAAAATGGTCAATTTTTTTTCGGTTTCTGGACTCTTAGTCTCATCTTTGTCTACATGTACATTTCATGGTATTACAGGCTTTAGCGCACTTTATTTCACGCCAACCTTCAGGGTTATTGTTTAAAATGCAGATTAGTGGGCGGTCACTAGAAAACTTCAAATGTTTGGCCAAATTAGTAACTAGAAAAATTCTTACATTCTGTTTCCAGCTCGTCTATGTAGACTGTAAGCGTAAGTCTTCAAGAGGCTTGCTGTAGTGATTATGGTGTCTACAATGCACTTTGGCGTCCTAATCTTTTCCTTTATGACCTTATGCCAGCATGGACTATGCTATATAGCTTTGGCTTCTCCATATAGCCCTGCATTTGTTAATTGAATGTGCAAATTCCAATTTGGGATAATAACCAATAACTGAAGAATCGAACAAGCACAAACAAGAATATTAGATGCACATCATTAATGAAGGATATACAAGTTTCGGGCCACAAACAGAGTATCATGTGCAATTCCAGTTTGGTTAAGGATCTTCACAGAAAAGGATTTTTATGGCAACAGACTTTGGTTAGGAGGTTAAAGAAACACACCACAGTAGCCTGCTGTAGTGGTTAAAATGCCAGGAGAGCCCTGGTGCCCTCCCAGAGTAGTTAAGAACAACTTACTGCCACTCAGTTAAACCTGGGAGAGGCCAGGGCACTTCTAGCACCATAACCACATCAAGTTTGCATTTCATTAATGATAGAAATAATTTCTTTTGTAAGCATAGAACGTGTTTTACTTTTTGTACGCGTGTTGCATTTCACTTTCTAGAATAGAAAATTACTATTTATTTTCATGTAAACAGATTCAACTAATTTTGGGCCATTCAATCCATACTTTTCTCAACAAAACATTTGCGTTTCTGTATTTTTGTGAAATAGGCACATGTAGATATATTCTTTTACATGCACAAAAGAAAATTAAAATAAAAAAAAGACCCAGACTGATTAGAATCTCTTTTCTGTTGATGTGTGCACATTCAATAACATGTTTTCCACAGATCAAAAACAGACAAAATTTACAACATGCCTAGCAATCTGGATATCAGAACGAAATCAAGAGTGCTCCTCCCCGTCATCATTTACCACGAGTTATTTTTCTGGGGGGCATTTGTGAGGGTGTATCCAGTGTTTGTGTTATTACCACTGAAACTGTTACTCACAAAACCATGGTTCTAACTTCACATAAACAAGGAGATTATAAAATAACATTCTATTTCATTTAGTGGACCCACACCTTTCTATTCCAAAAATGGATTTCACAAATACAGCAACTATTATGTAATCTGTCCCACTGCTTCCCAGTTAAAGGGACACTGCAGGGTAAACTACATTTACTATGCATTATCTAAATTAGGTTTTAGTTTAAATGGGGGAGAGCAGGGGAAGGCCTGATTATGCCTTCACAATCATGTAGGAACTTCCTCACCTGTCTATCCTGTATGTCTTTACAATATGAAATACATTAACTCCTACATAATTCAAGAAGAGCTGTTGTATTACTCATACAGTCTTACTTTTGTTGCCAAGTGTAATCAGGTTTGTTTACTATTTTTTGTGCCCGTCTGATTTTAAGTCATGGGAGCCAAATAGGATTTACAGCGTTCGTTCTCAGTACTGTTAAAAATTTATTTAGGGCAGAGAAGATCACTGACGAAAATAACTTTTTTTTTTATTATTTTTTATAAAAAGATGCAAACATTCCACACACACGAACTACAGAAATGGAAAAAGGGCTTGTACTTTTAACAATTGACAACTGCAAATAAACAGATGCAAGGTAAGGAATAGAAAAATAGATTGTGAAGACAGGTCAGAAACAAAATTGTCTAATCTAGTTTGCCCAATACCGAAACTCATTGTTATTCTCTGCATAAAAGCATTTCTGAATTCCTTTGCAGGGTTATCAATTTACCTAGTACTTAATAATTCATTTTCATGGTATTTAGGTTAACCCAATAATCCATGGACCTGTCCTCAGGACACCCTGTCACATTAAGGAACAGATTTCCGGGTGCATTACTGCCCCCAATCTGTGATCACATAGACAGCAAGTCAAGTGTTCAAACTGCTTCAATTCAATGGTCATATACCTGTACTGTCTCATAATTCTAGGTAGCAATTGTAAGTTTCTAGACTGTTATCTAGCACTAAGATCATTTGCGATTGGGTTTACCTAAATCATAAAATGCAATTTAACTGCCTGTAACCAAAATTTGAATAATAAATACATAATAGCAATATCATTAATGTGGCCTGTGTGTTGGTGGTGTATTACAAAATAGAAATGGTAAAAATGATGACAAATTCCCTAACAAAGGAACAATATAGAATGTCTAGAAAAGGATATGTTATGTTGGAAGTGGCCAGAATATTCCAAAAGCGTGGTGGTGGTTTGTTTGTGTGCTGTACATTGTAAAACCTGACAATATCAGGAATTAAATAATAAAAAATTTTTTATAAGATAGATAGATGGATAGACACAGACAATATGCATAGGAAGCAGTGGCAGTTTCACTGGGAGTGTGTGTCAATGTCTGTGTATGGAAACAGTGGCAGTTTTACAGTGTGTGTGTGTGTGTGTGTGTGTGGGGCAGTGGCTGATTTACAGTGTGTGTGTGTCCATGTCTGTCTATGAGAAGTAGTGGCTGATTTACAGTGAGTGTGTGTTCATGTCTGTGAGAAACAGTGGCAGTTTTACAAGCAGCAGCAGTGCTGAGGACATTGTAAATCCTAAAGTCTGTAACAGTAACTGAACAAAGGATTAAGTTATTGGCTCCCAAACTATAATATTTCCCTGCATTACTCCCCTCACAGCCATTTCCCCAAACTGATGGGCATCTCACTGACACGTTAGGCTTCCAAACAAAATCACGTTACTGTCTGCTGTTTGCTGACAACATGAGAAACAATGTAAAACAAAGCCTCTCCTGCTGAGCCATTCACATGCCTTCCTTCTAGCCATAGGTGACATTCATGTAACCTGCCTTTAATCTGAACCAGTAGAACAGCCTGGAGGACCCTGGGGTTGGGGGGATGGGGGCACCAGAATGCTCAATATAAAATCAGATATGCAGAACAGACACACCGAAGTCCCAGTTAACATGACAGAAGGACAGATTGTAACCATTTCAGTGCCAGAGTGGAATGCAAGCCATCTCCCCTCAGCCCGGAAATGTTACAATAAAAGGCTCCAACGTTCCTTTTTGAAACAAACAATACAGTAAGTGTGCTAAACACCGGATTAAAATGCAGATGGAGGCATGGAGGATTGGCAAATGCCGGGAGGAGGCTCTTTTTAGAATGCCCCCCTGTGATAGGCTGAGGGATACGTGCTGATCCCCGTTTGAAATAATCCAGACAGGGAATGGTGACCCCACCTGAGTTAATACAAGCACTGGGCTCGGTATATGGAGGGATCTGATTATTACAATAGGAATGGGTGATCTCCCCTCCCACTGCTAGTGCTTACCTGAGGAACTCCTGTAGGCAGGTGTCACAAAAGCGGTGTCCACAGGTGGAGACCTGGACAGGTTCTCTCATTGCCTTCCCACACAGGGGGCAAATAAATTTGCGCCTGAGCTTTTCCAGAAACTTGTAATCGTACCCCGGCATGGTGGCAGGGACTGGGGGCTCTCCACCCACTAATCACAGACAGTTAGATTGTATATTCTGGGGGTTCCACGCTGGATGTCCAAGGTCACTTGTGTTCCACCACAGCTGCCTCAGAACAAGGAGCGCCCATAAAGCAACAAAATGACTTGTAAAGCCTTCAGAAGAATGGAAAAGTGGAGCTCCTCACCAGCTTTCAAGGAGAGCTCCTTCCTGTGTTCAAGGATCCCCAGACTAGGCTGCTCCTACCAGCTGTCTGTATCCAGGCTTGCCCTGTCTGCTCCTGCTCAGCTGCTCAAGGTACATCCAGCCCCTGCCCCTCCTATACATGTTAAGGGAGGAGGCACAGCCAGTCTTCATGGAAGCCACGCCCCCTACATGTGCATCTTTTAACTACACCCATCAGATTTAACTGGATGTATTGTCAAAGGGTCTCATTCAGTGACTGGAGGTGGGGAATGGTGAAAATCCATGGTGACTGAGTGCAGTTGTGCACTTAACACTGAAAGCGAATTGCACCGAATTTATTTGTTGTTCTGTTTAATTTAAAAAAATGTATGAAACAGTTATTTAAAATTAATTGGAGATTCAGATCAATGATTTATTATTGATTTATCACAGATTTGTATTGAATTTAAAACCAGATTGCCAAAATGTAAGAAAAAATAAGTCAAGTTGTGGCTATAGTTGAGGTGAAGAGTAATTTTTTTTTCCCAACTATTTTTCCCCAATGTTGGCTGTTTAGATATTAATTTGCCACAGTTTGTGGTCTAGTTAATACTCTTTATAATGCTAGCCTCTTTCTCTGCATGTGAAGAGAATTTGTGTATTCAGATGCTTGCTTAATGTTGTCAGTCTCATGGGGTGTAATCGCTAAACAGCAGATTGTAAACCAAATGGCAAAATGTAGGCTAAAATATTGAAAAAGTTTTCACACTCAGTTATAAAACAGCAGGGTTATTTTAGTGAAAACTTTGTGATCTGAATTCCAATGCATTGCAAAGCACTATGTAGCAAATAAGCCCCGGATGGGTCATCACACTGCAGTTTCCCAAAGTATATAAACACACTCCCGTCAGTACTTTGGTTTTGGCACTGATGGACAACCAAACTGAACACCAAACCAGCTGGCGTGACAAAGGTTAGCCAAATGGCTGAGATTTATGAAAACGAAAACCCCAACAAAAGGAGGAATGCCAAAAGCCCACCACTGCCCTATAGAGCGTTTCCTACAAATAGGGTTGTTAACTAAAGTGGGAATTGTCATAGATTCAAAGTAAATTTAAGACCGAAATAGCTCCATTTTAGTTATTTTGTAGAAAATTTGAAATTCAATTTGAATTCCTAAAAATTCTCACTTTGCAGGGTTATTCACTAAAACGAGAATTTCAGGGAATTCCAAGTGAATTTCAAATTGAAGGTTAAAGTGGCCAAACTAAAAGCATAGCAGACTGGGACTATTTTTCCAGTTCGGTTATTTTGACCTTCAGTTTGAAATGTAATAACCCTGACAGTCTAGGAAGTGGGGACCAGGATGTGGTTTCTGTCTCATAGGAATATCTGTAGGAGCTTTCTAGATGCTGACCGTAAGATTCATCAGAGATTTAATGTAAGAATGAACAGAGTTTTTTTTTTTAACCCCACAGAGATTGTTTATTGCTGCCAGAGGGGCGATACATTATATATGATTCATCAAATACCAGGCTTAGGAATGTGCAGAGGATTTTTTTAAATATACCAAATTTGCCAGCTTTTCCACCTTTTGCCTATTAAGGTATATGAACAGCTTTTCCAGGTCTCATAATAAATACTGGCAGGTTTGAGGTCTGAGCGTAATATAGTATTGTTAGCTCTAAAAAGAAAGATTGTATGTTTCCAAGCTGGCTGCAAGCTGGACTAAAATAGGGACTGTCCCACCAAACTTAGGACAGTTGGGAGGGCTATTAAAGCCTGGTGGTGCAGGGCTTAGCTCATTGGCCGAGAGTGATCAGCTGACATTCCCAGACAATGAACTGGCCTTGCACTGCATGCCTTTTCTTAGGAAACCAACAGAAACTCCTAGCTCTCAGGACTGGTAGTGGTACCTGGCAGATAATGGGCTCTCCTGGCACCATAACCACTACATAGCACTTTAATATTGGTTATTCCCAGAATGGCTATTAATGGGGTATTTTTTCAGTTTACTAAAAAAAAAGTTAAGATTGTATCACTATACATTAATGAGTAATTTTGTCTTTAAGTAGGAGTCACGGCATTCCTGAACTCTGTTCGAACAAGACCCTTTCACCTCTGGTTCACATTAATTTGTTTGTCAGTTATTTAATGTTTTACTTTACAACCCCATTGTAAAGTGCTGGGGGATATTTCAACACTAATGATCATGTTCCTCAAGAATTCTATCAATTCTCCATGTAAAGAAGTTATAAGACTGAATCATATTATATTTGCCATGTGTGCTAACTCTTTGAATGCCACAATAGCAAATCTGTGTATTTTCAGCCAGGGACCTTGCTAGAAACCAGAAGCCCAACCGTAAACTTGATGACCCCTACACTAATAGGTGGAGATATGTCATGACATATCCCCATATGTTAACGTTATGTCCTCTCCGCTCTACTAATGAATTGTGTGCTGCTGCTTTCTTGAATCTCAATGAGAGCATAGCCAGAAACAAGCACATGCTGCATGGCCAGGTATTTGACGTGATCCCTCCATGCTTCCTAATATTGAGGTATGCTACCTAATAGAGAGGTATGCAGCAAAGTTCTGTTCCCCAGACCCACTTCCTGCTTGTTACTTGGGGTCACTGCTACCTCTTCTTAAATAGCCTGTATTATTACTAATACTATTGTTTTTATAAATAGCCTGTATTATTACTAATCATTGTTTTTATAATAGGCGGCTGCTTTGAAATTTTTTGAAAAATTAAAAAAATGAAGTAAAAACACTAATGTCCTCATCCTCCTTCACAAACAGCAGAGGCCCAGGCCCGGGGCTATAAAACCCACATCCAGAGCTTTCAAAATAAGATAATAAATTATGATTGAAATGCAAAATATACAATATTTTGAGTCATCTACCTATGAAAAGCAGAGTAGACTCCATATAAAGTGTATACTTTATATGTAAAAAAGTGAATGGATATCCAATAATTTTATCAAGAAACATTTGGCGGCTTGAGCCCTAAAGCAATCTCAATGACCCCTTACACTAACATTGAGGTAGAGATATGTCATGAAATTGCCCCACTTTCTATGTTACGTCCCCTTCTCTGTACCTATGACCAGAACGCAGCTGATCAAAATAATGATAGAATTTAACTGCACTTTTTAGAACATTGCGATAAATAATATCCTATTTTGGTTTGCTTGAAAAATTACTCTGTGTTTATCAGCTGCCTAAAAGTGCTTTACATTACTACAGCATTGTAAAAAAAATATGCAGATCTGTGATATTATCATTTACAAACACAAAATAGATTTATACACTTTGACTTATTTACATTTATGTTTCTTGTCTTTGTTGATTAGATATATTCCAGAATGCTCCTGATTTCCTTTTCTAGATTTTTTGTGTATTATTCGTCTTTTTACATTGTTGTAATGTGTGCTTTAATTGCAGCTTGTAGATTGAAATATGCTTATCAAAAATATTTCAAAAACTGCTGATCAAAACACAAGCACAGTATAGAATGCATTTATGTATTATTGAATAATATAACGATTTTCTTTTTTTATCTGAGTAATGTCCCCTTTAAAATCATCCTGGTAGAATTGAATTCAAATATACCAAGCAATTCTTCCATAGCTGCTACTTTGGTGCCATCTATGGCTACATCTCAAACTGCAAGTAAGAGACGCTCCTGACAGATTCCATCATGAATACTTAAGGCAGAAATTACCCTCTTTTTGGAATGTTTTACACAAATAATTAAAACAAAAGAAAGATTTTTTTTTAAAGTTACTGAGCTGTAAAGCTCCCTGCAGATGCACTGTTTAGTTGTTTTGTCTCCAGCTACAAGCAGAACTCTCCTTTATCAGGGACAGACATTCCAATTAAGAGTCTCTTATTCTATTTATGGAGTCTGCAGGTATCCCGTAAACCCCTACACAGCAGCCTGCCTAATTAGATACCAGGATACAGAGTGCTGACAAAGAAGCCTGTTACACTGCAGTCCATAGAAGTGGCACTTGGAAGTAGTTTATGTAGAAGCTCAGCTCTTCTATTTCCCCACTATTAGAGACCAACAAATGCAATAACTCTGCCTTCCGTTCTCACATCCAGATCGAAATTAAATTTCCCAAGGACCCTGGACTGGTGGTCTGTTTGAAGTCCCTGTTTAAGGCCCAGGGCACAGTAGTGCCTCCCATACTTAATTACATGTTTGCTTGTCTGATTCACAGTTGGGTCCTCTGCAATATGTGGCACAGTGGTGGCAGAGATGATCATATGACTTTTGGTCCATACACTGTAATATGTCATGCCTGTGCCAACCTACTCCGGACATATATTTTGGATGGATAGCTAGTTATCATCACCTCCACCACTGGGCTCCATATTACACAAGTCAGATTCAAGTCAGACACATGGAGAGGTAATTATATGTGGTTGTTTGGCCTTGCTTGTGTATTAATATATGACGGTGTATGAGAGATTGTGTGTCTTTCACTGTTATTTGGTAATGTGAGAGGCTAAGTCCAAGGTGAATTCCAAGTCAACTATACTTTCCATTAAGCTCCTCTGGCATTAAACTGGAAATTCACTTGGAATTTACCTTGAATTCTTACTTCAATAAATAAACCTGTATGTTTGCATGTGTCTATGTATTTATGTATGTGAATCTTTGCATTATCAAGGCTCTATGCATGTATTTGACTGCAAATGTAGGTGTCATGTATCTGTGATCATGCTGCAAGGTGAATGGCTATATGTCTACAGTGTGAGGGCTGTCAAGCATATGAGAAGTGGACTCATAGCCGTAACTAGGCTGTGGCATCCAAACACGTAAATACTGATTGTCATTCAAATATAACCTTAAATAGAGAGGGTATGATCTGCATATAATGTTAGAAGAAGGATCATAAATTATAAGCTACACAGGAATACCCTAGCCAATCAATATTCAATTCATAGCAGATTTCTGGGAAATCCAAGGCAGTAAATCCCTATTAGCTATTCTCATCAAGGGCCCAAATAACATGTTAATCAATCAGATATACAAGTTTAGACACTTAAGTGTGATTTTATGGGATGTCAAAGAGAATTTTAAAATTTATGTTAAAATGTAACTGACTTGACAGAATAATTCCTGTAGGCCTAGATTGGCACCTGCATCAGTTTATGCATGGCCATTTTGGATAAGGATGGACATTTACATAAGATATTCTGTCAGCTGTACACACTGTGGCTTAATCATTGTCACTTATTGATTGGAACACGGGGCACTAGAAATCACTAGATTTACTTTTTGTGGCACCATCATTGTGGGCAAATGCCTAGTAGGCCCCATCGGAAATTTGGAAAATTGATTTTCTAGAACAGCAAAGGTATACAATATGAATGTTTGTTTTTCACTAGATTTACTGTCATCTGTAATTTACTAATTAATATACCGGTGGTGAATTCCATATTGACTCTAAATGTGCACCATGTAGCCCAAGACTGCTTCAGCAGTGAGTATCCCCAAATAACTCCCTATTGTCTTTAGTAAATATCAGAATTTTAATAATGGAGACAATTTGGGAATTATCAACAGATTTAGCAAATCCAGGGTATATTCAGGGATTTGCTAATAAACCTGTGTTTTTAATACATAAAATAGCTGCACAGTTTTTCTTATAATGTACATTACTGTACAGTATAACAAAACACGCAGTGGGAAAGTGTAGTTTACACATCGCTTAACAACAACAATAATCGCTTATCTGTCATGGCCGCATCCAGTCCTAAAAAAAGAACCAATTTCTTAATAAAAAACAGTCATTTCCTGTCTGTCAATACAATCAATATTTCCTGCAGACTTAAAGAGATTACAACACAAAAGTCCAGACTGCTAAACTTACCTATTTCTAGATTGTAATAACACATTAAAAAGGTCATGAGTTTCCAAAATATATATATTTATAAATTAAGTCAACAATTAGAAGAGACAAAACCAGAGGTCAACCCAACACAGCTCACCAGAGGTTTGTGGTAAAGCAAGAGACTCCATATCTTAGTAATTGGTGGATATCAATAATAATTCTTACTTCTTTATTAAAAATTCCTCAAAGGCATTTACTAAAACATGTACAAATATTTCACAAGCCATGAAAAATTATCTTAATAGGACAAATCTCCTATCCAAAGCTTCTCATAGAGATGGGTAGTCTTATTTATTAAATGTTATTCAGATTTAGGAATTTGTACAAAATTTTTAATCATTTTTTTTTTAATCATGCTTTAAGGTATTAGTTCAAGTACTAATTTTAAACATTTATTTTTATGTGTTCATTAAAATAATAACTTGCTAGATAAAGCTGTTGTGGCTTAACATTCTTAGGGAGAGGGGGGGGAGTAAAAAAAACCATAAGGGGGGAGTAAAAAGAACATAGGGAGGGGGGTAAGAAGGACACAGGGAGGGGGAGGGAAGTAAGAAGGACACAGGAAGGGAGGGGAGTAAGAAGGACACAGGGAGGGTGGGAGGGAGTAAGAAGGACACAGGGAAGGGAGGGGAGTAAGAAGGACACAGGGAAGGGGAGGGGGAGAAGGACACAGGGAAGGGGAAGGGAGTAAGAAGGACACAGGGAGGTGGAGAGGGGAGTAAGAAGGACACAGGGAGGGGGAGGGGGGAGTAAGAAGGACACAGGGAAAGGGGGGTGGAGTAAGAAGGACACAGGGATGATGGGAGGGGAGTAAGAAGAACATAGGAGATGGAATCAGGAGTGATATTTAATAACCCTGATGCCTCCCGTAAATTTCTTGATTTTTATCGGACCTTGATCCAAGAGATAAAAGTGTTTTGAGGCATCCAGATTTATATGTCAATGATATTGGACAGAACTCAGGTGGAAGGGCTACATGTGATAAGGGGCCTATTTTAGCTTATGGCTAAGGAGGTGTTCCAAAACCAAGCTAAAATAGAAGTATGGTCTAAGACATACTGTTTGGTCCTTTTGATATAAGGATTTAATGTAAGGGTATTGTGAGCCTCTTTATTATTTTTTTGTATTTTCTTTTGTTTCTTTCTTTTCTTGGTTTTTGATCCTGCCCACTGTTTATTGTTCAACATAAATTGATGATAGAATTTAACCAAGTTAGTGCTCTTACCATAACAATAATATAAGACCGAAACCGAGGTAGAATGAATGTGTTGTTGATTGATTGTTTTCTGATGAAGATATAGCTATATGTTGATCTTGTGTAATTGAGAATGTCACATGAATTTCATGTAAAGGAAAATATTTTTACTAAACTCTAGTGGAGTGGTAGGATCAATACTTAAGGTCAACTCTGTCGTAAAATGTATCTATCGGATTTTGTTTGTATTGTATGTATTGGGCTATTTTAAAGCCACTTTTTCTTGTATTCAATATTAAAAAAAAAAAATCTAATAAAAAGAATTGAACAAAAAAAAAAAGAAGAACATAGGGAGGGGGGAGTAGTAAGAAGAACATGGGCGGAGGAGTAAGAAGAACACAAGGAGAGGGGGATGAGGAGATGAGGAAAACACAGGGAAGGGGTGAGGAGAATATGGGGGTGAGAAGAGACTGGTAGGGGGGGGGGGGGGAGAGGAAAGACCACTAAGGGGCAGGGCAGAGCTCTAAGCAGTATTTGCACTGTAAACCTTTTTTATTTATATTAAGTGTGAGTGAACTTAAACTGTATGGCTATGCTGTGGTTCCTGTAGGCTTTGTGTGCGTGAGGGGGGCAAGGGGTGGGTGGGGGGGCCTCTATGTCCATTTTGCTTTGGGCCCCAAAATTCCTTCAAACGGCCCTGTCCACATAAGTGGTTGGTTGAGCCTAAAAGGAATTTTAGGAAGGACAGAGGTAGAAAACTATAACCGATTTATATTATTTCTTTATCACAGTGTTAATTTGTTTGAGAACTAGGCAGTATGAGCCTCGACAGTGTGTGTTTAACCCACCCAGCCATCTGCAGCCCGTCCAAGGCATCTGGGGTTAGCATGGAGTCAGTGCTGTGTATGCTTACAAGAGTTGTAAAAGTTGTACACAGCTGATATTTTCATCTAGGAAGAAAATATTCCAACTGGTTGATTGACAGTCAAGGAGGTGTCCCTACACACAGCAAAATAATAAAATAAAATAAATGAATAATGTTCTTTTTATTCTGAGTTTAATATTTTTTTTAAAAAATTGCTAAATAACCACTTCATTAAGACGACCCTTTGAGACAACAAAAAGACATTGGTTTTGTTAAAAAATGAACCCAGACCACCTACACCTGCTGCGCACTTTAAGAGACGCAACAGCGGCAAACATAGTAGACCCATCACCACAACTAGCACAGACGATCCATGATACTACGACGAGTATCAACAACATGGCAATCTCTAAAACAGCACACATTTTACATAAGCTGAAACAAAAAACCTACTCACAAGGAAACAAAGCAGGCAGGAATCTAGCGACTTTACTACGCCAAAAACAATCCAATGCAAAAATCCCCTATCTGCTCACCTCCCAAGGCTCTAAAATCCACAACCCACAAGATATTAATGATACTATGGCAGACTATTACCACTCATTATACAACCTCAAAGAAGACCCCACACTACATCAACCCACATCCCAAGACATTCAAAATCTACTTGGACAGTTCTCGCTGCCAACACTGACGGAACACCAGAAAACTATCCTACAACACCCAGTCACACAAGAAGAAATACAACAAGCTATACACTCACTCCCCCATGGCAAATCACCGGGACCCGACGGACTCACAAACTCCTACTACAAGACAATGACCACAATCCTAACCCCATATCTGGACAAAACCTTTAACCATATCCTCACGACGGGCCAAGTGCCCCAAGACATGCTCATGGCACATGTGGCTACATTGCCAAAACCAGGCAAACCACCTAACAAATGCCAAAATCTAAGACCAATCTCCCTCCTTAACACGGACATCAAATTACTGGCAAAAATTTTCTCTAACAGATTAAAGAACATTATCCCGACCCTGGTACACGAGGACCAGGTGGGATTTGTTAGTGGTAGGCAAGGAGCGGACGGAACCCGAAAGATCTTGGACCTACTACAGGGAGGAAGCGGAGGGGGGGCCCAGTGCGTTATGCTGTCACTTGACGCTGAAAAAGCCTTCGACAGATTGCATTGGCCCTTCCTCCAAGCTGTTCTGATCAAATATGGCTTCCCAGACACTTTCTTACGGTTAGTAAAGGCATTATACTCTAAACCGACAGCGAAAGTCACCAATGGGGGCTTCAGCTCTAAACAATTCCACATAACCAACGGGTCAAGACAGGGCTGCCCACTATCGCCTCTCCTTTATATTCTCTCGCTAGAACCTCTCACGCAACTCATTAGGGACAACCCAAACATACACGGCATTACGAGACAAGGCAAAGAACACAAACTCACACTTTTTGCAGACGACATCCTCTTAACACTCGAGCAACCACACATATCCCTACCTAACTTCCACGATACGCTCACCCAATACAGCAAGTGCTCCTATTATAAACTTAATATAAATAAAACTCAAGCAATGGGCATAAATATCCCGATGGAGGTCTTGGATAGGTTGCGTATCTCTTTTAAATACGACTGGCGAAACGACCATCTAAAATTCCTAGGAATCAATCTCACCCCAAATCTAGCAAACCTTTTTAAAATAAACTATCAAAAAACACTGACTGAAATAAAAAACCTACTACTAGGATGGAAGAGTAAATTCGTATCTTGGTCAGGGAGAATTGCCGCAATTAAAATGATCATTGTACCTAAATTGCAATACTTGTTTAGAACGTTACCCATAAAGATACCCCCCACATTCATACGAGATGCTCAACAAACACTACTAACCTTTATATGGGACAGACAAAAAGCACGGGTAGCGAAAAGCACGCTATACATGCCACGCAAAAATGGGGGAATGGGAGTGCCCAACCTAGACAGTTACTACAGAGCAGCCATTCTGGGCCCCCTACTAGCGGCTTGCCATCGAGACCACCCAACCCAATGGATGGAACTGGAGGCGCAGCATGCTAATAACATTCCCATCAATGTACTGGCATGGCTTCCCCAGCACAGCAGGCCTACTAAGGCAAAATTGCTCCCAACCACAGCCCTCACCCTGACCATATGGGACAAGTACTGCCGCACATTGGGCTGGCTGGGCAAAATATCGCCTGCCATGCCCATACAAACACTACACTATATAATACCTAATTTTAACTATACCGTATGGCATCAGCACGGAGTAACACACTTACACCAGCTGCTCCAGGAAAACAAGCTCAGAAATCTCGCAGACCTAACAGCATGTTATAATTTGACTCCAAGGGCAGCTTTCCCCTACATGCAGTTGCAATCATGGCTCCGCAAGCAAACTATAACAAGACCTGACAATGTACAGGGGCTACAGCTGACGGTGGTAGAGAAAATATGCTCACGTCTCGCAACCCCCAAAAAACTCATCTCGGAACTATACCAGACTATGCATCCCCCAAAAGACCACAAAAACCTCTCCTTCATAGCTGCATGGGAGAGGGAACTTACGTACACTCTTGGTGAAAAACAATGGAATGAGATTCTCCTGGCACACAATTCACTCTCCAAATGTGCCTCCCACATGGAACTATCCCGGAAAATTTTATACCGGTGGTACCTAGTACCCACACGCCTAAAGGCCACCTATCCACAGGCCTCCGATATCTGTTGGAGATGTCAACAACACAAGGGCACAATGCTCCACATTTGGTGGGAATGCCCCTCCTTAACACCCTACTGGAATACCATAACCACCATTATCCAAGACAGCACAAAAACACTACTACCCCGCAAACCAGAAATATACCTCCTCCACCTCTTTCCAAAGGGGCTGCGGAGCAGGCAAAAATACTTAATCTATCACATACTTATAGCCGCGCTCACGGTCATTAGCAGACATTGGAAATCTAATATCCCACCCAAAATATCAGAATGCATACAAACGATAGAAACAACTAAGCTCTACGAGCTGGCAGCTAGACGCTCAAACCACTCCAAAAAAGTTTGGTCACAAGCCTGGGAAACCTGGCAACTGTACATGGAGCGTACTAATAATATAACCCCCAATTGAGATGACGGTAGCAGGGATCTACACACCGACAGCTGTGCCCCTTCGACAACGAAACTGTAGCAAAGGGTGTAAATGTAAAGGTCAAAGCAACTGTAAATGAAAATGTAAATAATTCTGGAGACTGCAAACACAACGATAATGCCGCAACTCGAATAAAACACATGTAAGACAGATAGTCCTGCAGAAACGACCACACACAGCCGACTACCTAGGAGAGCCCTACCCTCTCCCCCCCTCCTTTCTCCTCCCCCCTTCATCCCCCCCCTCCCTTCCGTCCCCACTCTGATCCTCTTCCACGGTTCACCCCCCACCCCAGTGGTATATGAAATACCAAAGCTCTACACCCAACATCAATCACAAACCCAGTCGATTACCACCCTGGAAGGGACCGATGTGAGCCCCCCCCCCCCTCAGGGCATGGGGTGGACAATAATCAGCAGACCCAATCAGGGCATCACGATATAACACAATGATCGTATGAAAAGCAAACTGTGTATGATAAATGTGTACACTGTCCTAAGGTCAATGTGTATGAGATACTTTACGTTACCACTGCTCCCCCACCCCCTATTCTCTTCTGTACCCCTATAAAACTTCAATAAAAATTGTCAAAGATAAAAAAAAAAAAAAAATGAACCCAGACATTCACTTAACCAGATATCATGGAGAATTGAAAAGTGAATAGAAAACATTAGGCCAATGTAGCCAAACTGGAATAGTAACAAAGGTGGTGAAATTTTCCAAATCAGTCATTTTGTTCCTAAAATTCTGCAATTCTCTTATAAACTCTGTACCCTTTAGTATAATAACTCATAGTTATAAATCACTGGTTACTTCTATTCTCTATCTACATAAAATAGGGTTCTATATATGCTAAAAAATTACAATCTATAATACCAAAATAATACCCGATCTAGCCATGTCAAAAATAATTTCCAAATCCGGTCTATCGATTCAAATTTGGTTGTGTTTCACTATTTAGTGAATAGCGCTCTTTGTGCTGTGGTTTTTAAGCAGTGTGCACACAGAGCTCTCTCACTGATTGGTTAGAATTGTCCAGAGCTTGGCCAACAATACAGCTTCCTTCAATCTACAGCAATCTATTATCTGACACAAGGGATAAAGAGACATAGCAGATCAATGCTTAATTAGGGACTGTACTGACATGTTATTATCCAGAGCCTCAGCTGTGAGTGTCTTCATTTCCATCTGGTTTTAAATTAAAGGGGGATGATCCAATGGAATTACCAGATATCTTGGAATGTAGCAATTAAATTGAATTAAATCCCTTCGCTGTATTTATATTGCTGCAAAAATGTGTGCAATACACCCATATGTGTTTAGATTAAATCAAAACATTTTAAAATGGTGACTGTATACAATTATAGTGACTATTTAAGTAGTTCAAAGAGCAGAAATGCTTCCAATTATATTTTGTATCTGTTGTAATGCTGTGTTCATATCTAACATTTTGTATTCCAACACTGTCTGCAGCTGTAGCTTCTTGTATTAAGGCAAAATTCTGGCTCCTAGAGAAAAATGGAGTTTGGTCTTCAATTTGCAATTCCATTCAGTAATTCTAGAATACTTACCAACATTAGCAAATATGAAACTTGGCTAAGAGGGGAAGTGATGCAATTCTCGAAAAGTAAAAAAAAAAAAAAATCGGGGCAAATGGATAGGAGTTTCAAAATCAGGACTCACCTGCTAGAATTGTGACAGTTTGCAAGTATGGCTTTATAGTCCATTCATCACATGTCTTCCTTTCAGAATGAAAAATGCATTGTATATCTTTTCCTTCTCTAAAAGTTTTCCTTAATACCACCCATTGGTAATAGGACACATGTAGAATTGTATTGTCTTTTCGGCTTGCTGACAGTGTATCAATCTATTCTTGGATGTTGTTAATTAACCATCGCACTGTTAGGCATAGCATGTTCTGTTTAAACATTCTCTAATATGTAGTAACTGAGTGCCAGAGGGCACCAAATAACCTCTAATGCACTATCCCCCTTTTCCTATCCTATAATGTAATTTCATTAAAGGGACACTATAGTCTCCAGAACAAATAATGCTTAATGTAGTTATCCTTATGAATATAGTACGACCCTAATGGCATTTTAATGTAAAGACTGCTTTTTCTGAGAAAAGGCAGTGTTTACATTGCTGACTAGGAACACCTCTAGCTGCTAGCACTCAGACGGCCACTAGAGGTGCTTCCTGGGTCAGTGCTGCACAACGCTTTGCACGGAGATTCTGTACACTCCCCATAGGCATGCATTGACTCAATGTATCTCTATGAGGAGATTCTAATTGGTGCAGCGTGGCATATCAGGTTACCAATGTTTTCCTATGGCTATGATGTCAGCCAAGGAGGCAGAGCGAGGGAAAGGCCAGCACCGGCGAACCCGCGGACTGCTGGAAATAAGGTGCGTTTTAACCCATTTTAAAGGACCACTATAGGCACCCAGACCACTTCAGCTTAATTAAGTTGTCTGGGTGCCAGGTCCAGCTAGGGTTAACCCTTTTTTTTTTATAAACATAGCAGTTTCAGAGAAACTGCTATGTTTATAATAGGGTTAATCCAGCCTCCAGTGGCTGTCTCTTGACAGCCGCTAGAGGCGCTTGCGTGCTTCTCACTGTGATTTTCACAGTGAAAGGACGCCAGCATCCATAGGAAAGCATTGAGAATGCTTTCCTATGGACTGGCTGAATGCTCGCACAGCTCCTGCCGCACATGCGCATTCAGCCGAAGAGGAGGAGAGCTCCCCGCCCGGCGCTGGAGAAAGAGGTAAGTTTAACCCCTTCCTCTCCATCCAGCCCGGCAGGAGGGGGACCCTAAGGGTGGGGGCACCCTCAGGGCACTATAGTGCCAGGAAAACGAGTATGTTTTCCTGGCACTATAGTGGTCCTTTAAGAGTGACAAGGGGGTATCGGACAACTAACATTTTTTTTTTTAACACTATAGGGTTCCATTAACCTTATAGTGTTCCATTAATACTGATGTGTGAATTTTACTCAGACATAAGTATTTCCCTCCTTTATTTCACAAACAATGTTATGGAAGCCTACTCTTCTACTGTAACAGTCTTTCAACCTTTAATAGGTTTTTTGTGACTCACAATATCATTGGGATATGAATGCTACCAATCTCTGTGAGTTTTATATCTGTCGGTTTTTCAATCAATCTCTTTTGTAGACATTTCAGATCACCATATTAATGTGCCACATTTCTCACTGCAGCCGATCCACCTCCTGTGATATCACCAGTCCTGATAACTTTTGTCCAGTCAGATTTTTCTGATAGAGAACTTGAAGCATTAAAGACACAAGGCTCTGAAGCACATAGAACCTCACACAGAGAAGCACTGGACACACAGAGAACCTGGTGTCAACATACTTTGCATGCTAAAGCGGAATGTAAAATAGATTCACTTATTTAACTTATTGTGTCTGAAGCTCCTAGTGCCTGCGTGTTTGACTGTCACCAGTGGGCTTTTCAAAACATAAACAGTTCCATTTCTAAGTTTTCATTTGTAAGGCTGCATGTGCAGCATCTATGCCCCCAAATCACTTTTTTAATATGTAATTATTTTGGTGCTTAGTCTGTCCACTTAAAGGGAAAGTGTCACGTTAACCAGTATTAAAATAGTATGTTTTTATTACTATGTTTAAAGGAACACTCGAAGCACCATAACCACTATAGCCTGCTACAGTGGTTATGGTGCCAGGAGTGCCCTGACGCCCACCCAACGTATGTAGTCAAGCCATTTAAGAACAATTGGCAGTGTAGGGAGGCTCACATTGGCTGACACTGTCGAGCCGGCCCTGAACTGCACATCTTAACAGAAGAGGCGGTTTTGGCAGACAACCGGCAGACCCCTGGTAAGTTGTCAAGCCCTTCTTAAAGAGTTAGACTACGTATACTGGCGGGTCCATCCTTCGGCATTCAGAATGAAGAATCCAGACAGGGTCCTCAGTATTTACCAATGTCCAGATTTTGCAATACAGCCTCTGAGTTACAGAGCATGTAGTCCACCATTTGCAACAGAATGGTGAAATTATGCAGTATAACACTCAATTCATTAGACAGAAGTGAAGCTGCCTGCCTGCAGATAAGTTGCAAAAATTATTGTCTTCCACAATTCAGTTGGGATGAATCCACAGGAACACAAGTGTCTATCTTCTGTCCGTGCTCCCACCTCTGATGCTCGCCTTCAAGATTTCTCGAGGGCTGCACTGTTCCTGTTGAACTCGCTTCCCTCCTCCGTTAGATGCTCACCCAGTCTCCACTGCTTCAAAAAATCGTTAAAAACCCATTTCTTCATAAAAGCGTATCAATTAAACTGTTAATAGCTCCTGACTGATTCCTCTTCTGCAACTGTCATTAGTCTAATACTATCCTTACCTTTTTGTGTCATTTTACCCCACTCCCTCTAGCATGTAAGCTCATTGAGCAGGGCCCTCAACCCCTCTGTTCCTGTGTGTCCAACTTATCTGGTTACAACTACATGTCTGTTCGTCCACCTATTGTAAAGCGCTGCAGAATTTGATGGCGCTATATAAATATCATCATCATAATAATAATAACATGACATAAAGCAATCATTAGAAATAAATTGATTAATAACTTATTTGGATAAAGGGTTAACTCTGTAGTTTTAAATTACAGGTATATACCCCAGTCATTAAACCATATGTATTCAGGGTATTACATTTATATTTTATTAATGTAGTCACATTATTTATTACATTTGTAATATTTTTTTAAATAAATTCTTTATTTATAGAAGTTTTTGTTTTGAAAGGATTGTAACAATCAGTTTGATACACCTTTACCAATGTTAGCTTACTAACTTATAATATTTAATTACATATCTATAATTTTTTTGCAAATTGTAGTTTATTGTATTTTTCTGCTATACTTTACATGTTCACAAAAATATCCTGTGCAAAGGATAAACTTAAAATACAGGAAAATTTGTAACAAAAGAAAAGCAAGCTCCCTTTGAGGTGCACAGGTCAACAATCAGAGAACTGAACAATTCATAACATACATTTGGCTGACCAATGGGTGAGCAATACGTCAGTAAATGAAGACAGTTAATGCACCAATCAACCACCAGGGATCCCATATTTTGGATTTTTTTCAGTTTTTTGGGCATAAATGATGGCAGACATAACTTCATGGGCATAATGGAGCAGGGCCGTCTTTCTGCATGAGCACGCTGTGCAGTTGCTGGCATGGGGGCCCCACCTCGCTGCCAAGTGTGCCCGGTTGACAGGGGAGATCCTTTGATCTCCTATGCCGGCATATGGAGAGGCAGCCCTGTTTTCTGGCCATGGTCCCTCTTGGGCTGGTGAGAAGATCAGAGATCTCCCTCACCGGCCCAAGGGCCCTTCGACCGGGGAGAGTCAGCGGAAGAACCCGGAGAAAGGGAGGAGGGACCTGTAAGCCAGAAATACACACACACACAGCACTCCTCAGCACCCCCCCACACACAGATCACTCCTCACACACCCACAGCACCCCTCACACACACACACAAACAGCCCTCACACACAGCACCCCCCTATAAACACAGACACAGCACCTCTCACACACACACACAGCACCCGTACACACAAACACATACTCTGCACCCTCAATGCAGTATGTGTGTGTGTTTATTCAGCATTGTGTTTGTATTCAGCGGACTGTGTGTGTGCATTCAGCGGACTGTGTGTATGTATTCAGCGTACTGTGTGTGTGCACAGCAGACTGTGTGTATGTATTCAGCGAACTGTGTGTGTATTCAGCAGTCTGTGTGTGTGTGTATTCAGCGGACTGTGTGCATGTATTCAGCAGTCTGTCTGTGTGTACTCAGCAGTCCATCTGTGTGTACTCAGCAGTCCATCTGTGTGTACTCCGAAGTTTGCCTGTGTGTGTATTCAGCAGTCTGTGTGTTTATGTATGCAGCAGTCGCTGTGTGTATGTATTTAGCAGTCTGTGTGTGTATTCAACAGTCTGTGTGTTTATGTATTCAGAACTCGTTGTGTGTATGTGTTCAGCAGTCGGTGTGTGAATGTGTTCAGCAGTCTGTGTGTATGTGTGTATTTAGCAGTCTGTGTGTGTATTCAGCAGGCTGTTTGTTTATGTATTCAGAACTCGCTGTGTGTATGTGTGTATTGTATGTATGTATTGCATTTGTTGGAGGTACTAATAAATATAAGCTTAATTGTATCTATAATTAAATTTGTATTCCTGTGAGTTGTGTGTAGGCAGTGCCCCAGTGCACTGCTTTGCCCGGGTGCCCATAATGTTGTTAAGATGGCACAGTAATGGAGTCTGAACTTGTCCCAGAGCTGAGCATCAGTAGAGCATAGGATACTATTCCAGTTTAAAACTCTTAGCAATTTTGCTGCTAGGTGGACAAAAGGGAAGGGATGTGGTATTTGGTACTTCACACCTCCAGCATTTATCAGAGGGCGTCTTATACATTTTGTTAAATTTGATTGGAGTCAGATACCAGTGAAAGATTTCCAATGTGCGTCTAAGTGGGTGTAGCATTGAGCAATGCCTTGCAATTCATTGAGCAACTGGGTCCATTTAGATGATGCTAGGGGGCTTGTCCAATCTTTCTCCCACTGTTGCATTTATGAAAGCTGTTGATAAGATCTACAATGCAAACCATAATTATTATTTTAACCATTTGCCATATGGCTGCTTGCTCTGCTAGTGGGTAAATATTGCAGATTATGTAGGTTTGCCAGAATTTCAGAATAAGGCCAGACTGTAAAGAGCACAATTTCATACAATTCTCCAGAGGCAAAGGGTAAAAATATAGATCATTTGAAGTACCTACACCAGTCATTTCACAAGTCATATATCACTATATCAGACAACCAGCTCCCTGTAGTATATGATGTCTAGTCTGCCTTCACTTCATTCTAATGAGACAACAGAAATACCAGGAAGGAAAGGCTTGCGTCTATGACAGCGTACCTCTATTGTTTTCTTTATATGATGAAATGGATCATCTATTTCTTAAATGTCTATGCAACAGAGACTTGTATGGTAGTAACAGCAGAATATAAAAACCCTTTTGGGTGTTAGGATTTAGAGCTAAATCCTTATCTTTGTAAAAATACCAGGTATGGGCTTAGCCCTTCGCGTCCACCCCTGTAATCGCATTTACTCTTTGTTTACAGTAGGGGGATAAAGTACGACATGCTGCGATTCATTGGGCGGAACACTGTATACATTGAAGTTTTAAGCATTATTGACTCAGCATTTCATGTTCTCTAAAAAAAAAAGGCTGATTGAAATAACATTGGACGTTCTTAGAAATTTGTAAATTAAGTATTTTTGTTGGATTGCCAGATTGCTATGTTTTCGCAGGAGGTTTTGAAAAACAAGTATGAATATGTAATGTGGGACAGTGCATGAAAAGGAATCCTAGAACTGTGTAACATTCATATGCTGCAGGAGTGATGCCAATTTATAAAAAGAGCACTATAGCGTTAGGAATAGTTAGCTAATTAGAGGACTGCTTCAAATTAAATAAATAAGAGGAGGTGCCGGTTTTGCTGTGACTGCCACGCCTCCCCATCTGGGATCGTCAATCTATTACTTCTCTATAAGGAAGCATTGGGAGGCTAGTGCGCATGTGCTGCAAATCGCCATGCTCTACCAATCAGCATCTCCTCGTAGAGATGCATTGATTCAATACAGCTCTACAGGGAACGTTCTGGTCTGGTCAGAACCCAGGAAGCCCCTGTAGTGGCCGTCTGAGTGTCAGCCACTAGAGGCGGCCTTAGGTAGTAGTGTAAACAATACCTTTTCTCAAAAAAGACAGCGTTTACAATGCTGATCCTGCAGGGACAGGCTATATGTCCCAGAACCTAAGCTGTAGTGGTTCTAGTACATACAGTATCCCATTGATTATGGTGGGCATTGCAAAGAAAGATCCATGTCCATTTAAATAGAGTCAATCCACTTTCAGCTAAGCAGCAGCATGAATTCATATATGGTTTATTTATTTTGCATTCACTGCCTACTTTCCATCCCTGATTTGCCCCAATAAAAACAATGAACAGTTGTAAATATGATACATATTTTTTGTTGTTTTGTAAATTTTTTGTATGTGTTTTGCAGCTTATGAATCGCAGTAATAGTTGCTATAATCATTGGAATGGGCTATTAATTGATCAGTTATACAAAAATGACATAGAAAGATAGGCTGGCATTTGTTTAGATATACTCCTTACATCTCAAAATTGAGCTTAAAGGGTTATTCCGACCTCCATGACCACTTTGGCTTTTGAAAGTGGTCATGGTGGTAGGAATCTTTATGTGGAGGGTCACTGCTTGAAATGCTGCACGTACAGAGCTGTTTGCACTTTTGCACTCCTGGAACATCTGTTTCAGAGTACCTGAAGTTAATTCTGTGCATAAAAAACATATGTTGTCGAAGGGGGGCGGGGCTAGACGAGCACCAGAGCGGACGCAAACCTCTGGAGCTCCGGGACAGAGTGAAAAATATAGCCGCACACCCGGAACACAAGAGCCCACAGGCGACAGCCCGACGTACCCTCCAACAGAGACGGCCATGGGGCGCAAAAATAGGAAATATCAGCCACCAGCGACCCCGAGAATGCCGGACATAAGGCTCTCCTTTGAGAGGCCCACAGCCGCGACCACGGCTCCCGCCAAAATGGCGCCCGCGGCCCAGGCTGAAGAGGAGGCCTCAGAAGCATCCCAGGAGGAGGAAGACATTGCCACCTCACCTGAACCGGGAGAAGACTACCCAGAAACGGACTCTGATGAGGACGCCTCCCCAGTGACAAAAGGTGACATTAAAAACCTCCTGAAAAACATAAGACAAGTCTGGAAATCGGACCTGAAAGAGGCCCAGGCAGATATAGGAGACCTCCGCAAGAGGATCTCTGAAATAGAGAATAAAGAGCAGTCTCGGGAACACCAAAGGCAGGACACCCGCAACCAAGTAGAGGACCTGGCCACAAAAGTGAAGAAACTCACCCGGTCGGTGACCGCTCTGGAATCCCGCCACAGACGCAAGAATGTCCGCATGCGGGGAATCCCGGAAACAGTGAGTGAAGAAGCCCTGCTACCCTTCACCCAGAGATTAGTGGCCTCGATGGGGTTAAAGAATAAAGATACCGAGGGGATGGTGGTCTCTGCGTTCAGAGTCCGGAAAGCAGCAGCGGCACCTCAAGAAGCATCGAGAGACACAATAGTCATCACCAGAGACATTGCGGTGAGAACCGCTATCCTCAATAAATCCAGAGAGATCAAGACGTTCCGACTCGAGGGCTGCTGCGTGACGATCTATGGGGATCTCCCCATCGAGGCGCTGGTGGCGAGGAGACAACTGGCACCAGTAGCCAAGAAACTGAGAGAGGCGGAGGTCCGGTACCGCTGGGGAGAAGATGGAACGCTGAACATCCAAAGGGGAATCGAGACACTTACCATATCTGCTGGGGAAGACCCCACAGCACTCTGGAAGACCTTGAACCTACCAAGCAAAGACCCAAAGAACACTGGCGTCTGATTATGAGCGTGCCAACAACAGTCGACAGAGAGCCTGCGGGCAGAGTAGCCCTATAACAAGGACTGATCCTTTACTTGCCTAACCCCATGCCAGGCTACATACCTCACAGACCACACATGACGCATATAGTCAGCGAGAGAGACAGCCCCACACTAAGATGGACTGAAAGGCAATCCATGTCACTCAGTCCCCCAGACAATACCGGACACACTACTAGACGCAGAACCACATAGCCCTGTCGCCCATCACGGACAACACAGATACAATGGCACCCACAGAGAACGAACAACACAAGACCACACAAAATAGACACACATGCACACTCACAGGAGACGAGAACACACACCAGACTACAACAAGACCCAATTGAGGGTAATCTGAGTGACGTCTATGTAAGAGCAACAGAACTCTAAAATGTATGACTTATAAAAGAGGCAAAAGTATAACGCTTACCTCTATGATATACTCTGTATCAGTTGTATCTTTTGATAAAAATACTCAATAAAATACAAATTATAAAAAAAAAAACATATGTTGTCAGCGCACACAGCACACTGGAGAATGACATGGTCAGCTTCTACCCTTGCAGGGAGCGCTGGTGATAATACTCTCCATCACTCCCTTGTCCACATGCACCCTTAGCCGGTGAGAAAAGTCTCATCAAATGCTCTGTGAGAATGATTTGATTCGTCCTTGCAAGAGAGGGTGTGACGGGTTATGGAAACCAGTGAACGCTGGATTTCAGGTAGGTTTAAGCTTTATTTTAAGACTAGGGACGGGGCACCTAATATACAGGGCATTCTAGATAAAAAGAAGGGGTTCTTTAGGGGTGTCTTTAAGTCAAGAATTACTTTGGTGTTTATTCACTAAACACAGAATTATAGTGAATTTTGCAAAAATTGCATAATTTAAACTAAAATGACAACGCCGTAATGGTACTGTAACTGTAGAATTTCTTTCTTAAATCAGCACAGAAATGTAGCAATTTCAACAAATACATTACAATTCATAAATAATTTACATAACACAATGTACAGGGCTGGAATGCACCCGAACAAACATCGTTCCCATCTACTACGCTACATCTGGGCCACCTTCCTACATGAGATGCATTTCCAAAGTGCACTAGGACCAACCCTAAAGGACTCAAGATACCCACAGGACTTCTTTGCTAATCACCGAGATGCCAAGAAGGCAGGGGAGGCCATACTCTTCGCGCGGACAATACCATACACCCCCGTGGCTGAGCTGGCCGATCCACTGGGTCCCTTCTTGTTCCTTAAAAGGACCATCGCTGACCGCATGTGCACATTTGCCTGTATGTATGCCCCGAATACGAATTAGCACAGATTCCTGAAGCGTATGCTGTCCTCATAGAGAAGTTCCAAGAGGGCCTGCTCATTGTCGTGGGAGACCTGAATATAGCTATAAACCCAAGACTGGGTACCTCACGAGGCCACTGCTCCTTCCAGAGTAGCAACCTTTGCACAGCACTAAGCGTGTCAGGTCCCCTGCCTGCATGCTGCTCGCGTTGGCCTTGCCTACCCTGTCACCATGAGTGGCGCCATCTGGTCCCTGTCCGCGGTGTGCGGGTGTCCCCGTCGACTTGCTCCAGACTTACAGTATTTTTGATGCTGCACGCTCCATATTTGTTGCTAGACCCAGTCATGTGACCCGGCACACAGTGAGGAACTCAGAGACGACAAGGGAGGGAAAAAACATCTCCCACGTGTTGTGGTTAACACTAATTGGAGGTTAGCCAATCAGACACACCCTGTGTGTATATAAGCTAACCTCCCCTTTGCCTTAGTGCCCTGTTGTGGTCTTTGTTTAGCCCAATAGCGCATTATTGGCGGACAGTTGGCGAGTCTCTCATCTAGACACCAAAGATTTCTCCTTCTACTCCTCCGTACACAGAAGGTACAGCAGACTTGACTACATTCTCTTGGCCCAAGAATACCTCACTCTACTGCAATCCAGCAAAATCCTGCCTGCGACGTGATTGGACCATTCACCCGTCCTGATCAGCATACGCTCACCGCTGTTCAAACCCTCTGAAAGGAAATGGAAACTCATTGAGCAGATACTGGAGGAAATTGATATAGTTGAAGAGACCAGGATGACTTTAGAACACTACTTAGAGGAAAATTACACGCCGGAGATGACCCCGCTGAACACGTGGCAGGCACATAAATGTGTGATCAGACGCCACTTTATCGGCATTTGCACACAGCGTAAAAAAGAACAGGGACGCAGGACAGTGGAACTGGCCCGACAGGTGGCCTACCTGGTGCGCTCACACAAAGATACCCTGTCTGACTAAATATACAAAGAACTGGTAGAAAATAGACGGAACCTCTGTCAGATCTTATCACAGGGCCTACTGCACACTATCCGCAAATCACAGAGACATTTCTACGAACACTCAAACAAATGTGGCCGCTTTCTAGCCGGTATGCCCCAAAAAACACAGGCGCATATGCCACATCACAAAAATCAGAGCTAAAGAGGAGCATACCACACAGCTCCCAGATGGGATAATGAAAGAATTCATCGATACTACACAGACCTCCACAACCTTCGGCCTACGACAGACCCCGGAAACAACCAACACCGTCCGACTGCAATAGCACATTACCTGCAGTACCATCTGATCTATGGGCGCCTGTCTGCATGAGAGGAGAGGAAAATCTGATAGTAACCAACGTTCAGGGGAGGCTGGAAGCGGTGCAATGAATCACATGTTGCTTCACCCGCTCCCCGAACTTGTGACCTCTTCTGTCTTGTACAGCTCAGGGGAGCCCAAATAAGCAATGTTGATTTAGGGAAATAAAAGGGGAAAGTGGAAGTGTATGGGAGAGAAAGGAGAGGGAAGAGAAACAGATGGAGAATAGCATAATTAAAAGAAATGCATGGATAAATATTAATATATATTTGTTTAAAAGTGGCTATTATCTTTCATATATATGAAAGAATCAATACATATACTTAAAAATGTATTAATATTAATTTATATGCATAAGTCTAATATACATAAAATGAATGTAATTTTAGAAAATAGGAAATGAGTGTTAAACATAGTGATCAGTTTTATCGTATTAAGCTTAAGTGTAAATATTACATTGTGAAAATTTACAATGAGTAGATTTAAAACAATAAACACAATAAAAGATTTATATAAAAAAATTAGTATAAAAAACTATGGGAAAATTAGAGTGCTGATTATTAAGTGCTATGCAATTCGGTTGAAATAAAATGACATAATTCAAAGTCGATGTTTAAACATCGGGGTTATAAAGTTCAGAGTTTCAATATCCACTTCTGGCAACAAATACATGGAAAGATCAAAGAGATTCTGGACACGGACCTGCCGATCCAACCCCTGCCAATGCTCTTTCATCACACAAAACTTCCACTATCCACGCTTGCTCACTAGACACCTCTTGAATGTGACAAAATCCCTTATCCCAATCGGTGACGCACGACCGATGTCCCGACACTACAAAACTGGATGGACAAGGTAGAAGAACTACATGAAATGGAGACAATCACTGCCTCGCTCCGCGGGACAACAGAAGGATGCCTGCAGACGTGGATTCCTTGGTTGGACTTATAATCGCCTAAAGGTCTGCCTGTCGTGAGCTAGCTCGCCATGCCAGATCAGAGCCAACATCTATTTTACAGACACATAGAGCGAAACATGTTGCTGGGCCTAGCCCTTGCTAGTTTAACCTATGTTTCCTGAATAAGTAATCCCTAGAACGAATACGACACATAGTATTTGACGCAAGCGAGGTCATGTATTGTATAAGCACATTGAACTATTAAGGCATGGTAGGCCATGCAGAGTTTAAGTACTACATAGATTTTGATTCAAGTTATGCCCTGCTGTGTTCATGTATAATGCAAGCTAACTCAAAATGTTTTGTATTCTATTCTTTTGTTTAAACCACATTACTGTAAAATTGAAGCATGGAAAAAGAAAAACCTAAAATAAAGATTGTCAAAAAAAATAAAATAATAATTTACATTACATTCACTCGCTACGTGCTCAAATGCACAACTGCATCCACGCATGCATTATATAGGGCTGCCGTATGTAGCTTATAGCCATATGTGAAGTTACATTTACATGTGGCTTCAATGTCTAACTGAATGGCCAGATGAATTGTTACATGTCAGGCTTTTTAAAATAAAATATTAAAACAACACTGGTATATTACTCAAGACAGAGTTGATTTAAAACCATGTTTGTTTTGAAATACCACATTCATTAAATATTAACGCACCTGGGTACAATATTAACCAATGTCTCCATGCCTAGAATTATGCCTAGTCATTCAAGGGGTGGTTTTCGTAAAAATAGATTGTTTGTTTATGAAAGTTTTTGCCGACTGTGTCGGAATTTCTTTGAAATTCCGAAGCAATCAATATACATGTATACACGAGACAAACCTCAGATTACTTTTGTCAGCGGATCTTCCCCTGACACAATCTGCCATTTCCAGTCATTTGTTGTCGGCAGAAGAGAACAGACATTGTCCCACGTGATGTCTGACAACTTATATTAAAAGATCAAAATCATATAATGAATATCATGCCGTCTCATCTGCAGTCTTCTGTTGATGTCTTTTTGTAATCATGGACATGCAACAGTTGATGGAAACAGGCATAATGCTGTGCAATGTGCAACAGATGTCTAAAGCAACTTATTGCCTGCCGAGTACGTGCAAGTGCGTTCTCATGGGATCTTCCATAGATCGTACTTTGTCCTCTGGCGCATGCATAAGAGTACAGTATTGATGGTGGCACCTGACAGTTAAAGCCACCCCCCCATGAGGCGGCCGCAAGATGGCAGTGCTAAGGAGGTAGAACATAAGGTAAGTATATATTCTTACCCACTACCCTTTCACCACCATACAAGCACGTCATCTTGGGAGGTTTTTGCACAAAATGCAAAGATCCTACAAGAAGGATATCATTTTCTATAACACAATGACAACGCCTTAAAGTATGTGGTGTTTGTGCTTGTTGCCGACTTTAACAATGCACAGAGGAAATAAATAGAACGAATGACTGAAACATGTCTTTGGCCTATTAAGCATGACGGTATTCCCTTTCAATGTTTATACTGAGCAGTATTTGTTAAAATGAACATGTCATGCATAGGTTGTATTGATAACAAATTCACCGTCTAGTAAGGATAGCACTGGCCAGCAAATATATCGATGGAAATAGTACTTTACTGAAGATAACTTTCTCCTTTGGGACTAGAGTGTCCACATCCCCCCAAGCCACATCCCGCAATGTGGGTATTTAAAACAGTGGCCTTGTGGGGTGGGGATATGTCATGACAATTCTACACCTTTGTATGTTGTGCCAAAATCATCATAGTCACCAGATTATCTAGTGTGTGATAAAGTGAAGGCAGATAGGCCTATAACATTTAACCCCAGGGGGAGTATGTGTAGTATGTGTTGTAGGCAACACAAACCACCGTTTAGTTATGGGCCCCTGGAGTGGAGCATTTGGAGAGCAGGGTGGGCCAATGCTCCACTCCTCAGTTTATACACAACTGGGAGAAATCAGGTCCAGGCAAGAGTTTTTTGGAACTGTCTCCAACCCACTGCTCAGCTGCAGATAATCAGCTGTAGCAGTGGGAATAAACCCCTCCCTGCTATGCAGGTAAAGGGGGGTTTGCTGGCTTCCTCCCTGGAAGCAGGTTGGAGAGAGGCTGTTCTCTCCAGTGAGAGAGTCAAGGAGACTGAGCACTGGGAGTGCAAAAGGAAAGCAGTCAAGGCTGTCTTGGAGCACTGGGAGTGCGGAAAAGAGAGAGAATTCTGTTTATTTGTAGAAGGAATGGAAGCCACATGCTAACCGAGTGTGGAGTGCAGAGATCTGACAAAGGCACTAGGTTGGTGAACCCAAATATTATTTTGTTCTAGTTTAACCCCTGAGAGAGAGGGAATCTGTTGTTAGTTAGTGCTCAGACGAGCTAGGTTTTTGTTTATAGGGATTTGTGTTATTGTTGTTTTTTTCATGCTGCTGTAACTGTGGTGGAGTTTAACAATAAAACTGCCTGGATTACATGAAAACCAAAGGACTGTGCCTGTTGTTTACCCTAGAGGACTGTGCTATCTGCGGACAAGGATCACAAGTGTTAGGATCTACTGTTTTATTATACAGAACATGGTCAGTAAATAATAGGTGTATAAAAATTATGACAAGAGACAAATATCTTATAAAAGTTTTTATTGTATAAAGTCTTTATTGTATAAAGTGTGAAGTTTCAACGTTGTATTTGTATTTCTGTATTTTTTATATACCATAATATCAAAGATGTTTTACATATCCTACTGAAATTAACTTACTTTGTATGAATATTGATTAATTGATTAAACAACTGAGGGATATATAAACATACCCATATGGAGGTGAACCAATTCGTCTCTGAGGAAGTAGGACCACCCCCTACGAAACGCGTCAGACAGCTCCATAGAATGTCCACACAGCAGTCAGGGTATCAACACAAGAACTGATACATCACCTTGGATTCTAGGCATCCTATCCACATCATTCAGCGAACAGTACTGATCCCCCGAAGTGAGGCTCGAGGTGGAACGCACTGTGCCACGCATGCCGCCCTCACCGGCGATCAGAATCTGAAAGATAGGATCACGAACAACATCTAGATCCATCCGTGCCTGGTAATAAGGTTGCCTTGTATCTTTTACCCTAAATTGACTGATACACACATGGCGGACTCATTTTTAATTATATATTTTTAACTATCTTGGAATAAATTTGTTTTTTAACTCTCAGTTGTTTTCAGCGATTTTTATTGCTTATAGCCACCAGTTCCATGTACTGGCTCTGCTAGAATATAACATATATTGAATTTGCCTGTTAATAATCGATACAGATATAACGATTTCATGCATTTTTGCTACTCTCTTTTATCCTTATAAAAGTAGAATATCTGGCAAGGGGTCAAATTTGCCCTGGAATATTTCTTCCTTCCAGGGTTAAGGATTCTTATGCCATACAAATAATTTCTCATATTGAACACCTAAGATATTTATGTGTATTTTATATCCACTAAATTTTTGTGTGTATTTTTAACCCCTTAAGGACC